CAGGATGACAAGGGACACTAAAATCCCCACAAAATCCGACCTTTCTGAAAGCTGTAGGTTCTCTGTCAGCTGAGGTCGAGCTGATGTAATTTACATTGAGTTCTATGGGACTTTTTTCTGGGTAGCCCACGTGAATTTAGTCTGCAGTACCACGGGCGCCCCCTGTGCCCGTGGGTGGGACAGCTGTAAGCTAGTATCCAGTTAATATTATATATCCATGATTGTACCAGGTTATAGCTCAAGAGCTAATTTCAGCCGTAGTCCCTGGGCTGATGTATGCAGCCCAGGGACTATGATATTGCATTATAATAACAAACATACACACAGTTTATATGGATATACAGTTTTCCTAGGCCAAAATACATATAAGATCAAGTCTTCACGTGCACAATTTGTTAAAACGTCTTATTCATGTTGCCCATTTACACAGGTCAAACACACACTTATACACACAAATCACACGGTCTCTTCCCACACATGCAGACACACATTAAATATCTATGTAAGAAGGTGAGGGAGGTGTGATTGATGCCTGTGAATTCTGAAATTGGCTCAGAGTTTGTGGTACCTGGACAGAAGTTGAGGTGTGGTAACCTTATGTATTGGGGGTAATTCTGACTTTCAACCATAGATGGCAGTAATTCCCTGATTTGAGCAAACTCACAGTTTCGTATTTTTCAAAACATAGATAATATGGGTTAAAATGTTACATTTGTTTTTGTTACATGTTGAATTTAAATTTCTCCAGAAATATATTTTATACACATATGAATATGTTGTGTTTAAATAGTCCTTATTAACAAATAACAAAACAAATCTTACAGTTGAACAAATATGAACATGTTTTTTAAGGGTCAAGAAAGTGAAAAGAATGATGATAATAATAGAAAATATAAATCAAACTGTATGAATGTTTTTGCAGAATTGAGAATGCAGACATCTCATTATGTCCCTGTCTCTTCATCAGAGTTGTTTGAGTGCATTCTTGACATGTTTTATTCCCCTGCTCTAATTTCCATTCTGCGCAAAAACTTTGAATCAAGGAACACTAAGTGACATTGATTTGAAAGTGTTTTGCTGTGTAAGGTTCTGGTGCACTTTATACTAAGTGATGCTGCTGTAAATGAAGAAAGTCATAGTAATATTTTAAAACCTATCAAACCAAAGAACCAAGCCAGAGCCAAAGCTGGACATTGCCTCATTTGTTGGATCCAATTGTGGCATAGGTCCAGGAAAGTAAACATTTTGAGAGACTATTGAAAACATCCTTAGCCTTTGGAGCAAAGGGAATGGAACACATGTGTATCCAGGCTCAGTGTGAGTGTAATAACATATAACAGTGTAACTATTATATGTTATTACACACTTTTGAGAAAGTAAGTCTCCTTCAAAAGAACAATATTATGTGTGTGACATTCACTCATATTAAGATTTTTATAGTTGACTTAAAACATATTTTGAAATCAGAATGAAGTTTCAATTATAAATCAGCCCCCAAATGTATTATAAATTGGATAATGTGGCCATACCTTGTCAAAGCCTGATCTCATCACACCTCAGAAGCGGATGGAAGACTGCTGGGCATCCAGGATGTACATTGTGGTGCCTGTTGCTCATGAAAAAAATATTGTTTCCATACAAAACTATTTAGTTACTCAATAATCAATGACTCTTCTGGCCCCTGGAAAAGCCATGTTCCAGCTTCTTCCTTCTGGAAGAAGATATTGTTCGCTGATATGCAGGACATCTCCTTTTGCTAACAGCTTCTTTCCACAAACTGTATCAGTTTAAACAAAGCACTTTAATGATCTTGTCTTTGTACTGAAACTGTTTTAGTCAATCGCTTTCAAACTGACAATTGTTTCACTTTAAACCTGGTTTTATTTCTGTACTTGTCTTGTGCACACTGGGGACTTTTGAAAATGTATTCCAATGTGATTTTACTGAAAATGGCAAATAAAATGAACCTGAATCTGATCCGAATCTTATTAAAGTCACTAAATGGTCAAAATTCAGCCTGAAAGTGTGTATAACTTAAGTCTGAGATTTTAAAAACAACACATCTTCACAGCTGGAGGTGTGAAACTGTTTAAGGCCATTGACACATGGCTGGTCCTGCAGAGGCTGCTGGTTTGCTGGGCGGGGTTCCAGCTGGCATCACTAACCTCTGATTGGCCGAAACAGTGATTACCTAAATGTTGGATGTAAACAGTGGCGGTGAAATGTACTCCACTCTGATATGATGGATGCGGGCCGCAGGAGGAAGCCAGGGAGCCTCATTGATCCGTCTGATCTTGTTAATCTGAGTCTGGGCTTTTAGCGAGATGAACATCCACAACCAGTTTTAAAAGTGGGCTTGTCTGGATGGATACGTCTGTGCCAACAAAACCCACAGCCACTGGTTTGTTTCTATAATTTGTGTATATCTGTAAGTTAAGCCTACTACCCCCACCTCAGCCACAGAAGTTCCACATTTTGATTTACAGTTTTATACCAGAAATGGAAAGAAAGTAATCTGCACCACAGCTTTCAAAATGTTCCAAATTAATTTACGTAGCAAAATCTGCATGGGTTGGTGCTATGAACAAAATAGATTGGTTAATAACACAAGCACAGTATTGTCATCTGCATGTGGACGCCTGATCTCAGAAGCTAAGCAGGGCAGGGCCTGGATAGTACTCTGATGGGAGACCTGTGGAAACACCAGGTGCCACAATCAATCAATCAAACTTTATTTATAAAGCGCTTTTCATACAATAAAATGCAACACAAAGTGCTTTACAGCTGAGTCAAAATCAATACAACATACCCAATAATCCCCAAAGACCCACCCATAAACCCCCCTAATTATTATATATACATCGAGATGCATATACCCGTACACACGCACACACACATACACACACACACACACACACTCACAAACACACACAAAGACATATAACACATGAGTGTGTGTCCTGACTTTTGGGATGGTTAGGAGTCTGCTGCCGGAGGAGCGCAGGGGCCGGGAAGGCTCATAGGATAAAAGCAAATCTGAAAGATCAGAAGGCCCAAGACCATTAAGACATTTAAAGACAATTAAAAGAACCTTAAAATCGATCCTGAAACACACCGGGAGCCAATGCAGCAATTTTAAATCCGGTGTAATGTGGTCCCGCCCCCTGGTCTTAGTCAGGACACGTGCGGCCGAGTTTTGAAGTAATTGTAAACCTGCAATGTTCTATGTTGTACAATGAGGCGTCTGTGGTTATAAAGGGCTTAACTGTTAATGTGTTCTTCGACAAAACCCTTTAACCACATTGGCTTGTATGAGTTGGTGTGTGCATGATTGAATGGTGGTGGTTGGCCAACTCGATTTGAACTGAATTTATTTATTTATTTATTTATTTCAAAACCTGCACAGGAAACCCATTTTACAAATGTTCAGACACATATTTGTCACTCTGACTAATAATTCAGTCAGAATAATTTGTTGGTTGATACCACAGCCATTTATGGATTTGTGTTAAAGAGTCTTCAACCAGATGTTTTTAGTCAGTGTGTGATGCCATGGCAGTTGTAGATGATCCAACAGTTAACACGACATCACATTCTACAACATGTATGGACATTTATCAACATTCATGGATATTGGTCCCTTCTCATGGACCAATACATACAGTATGTGTATTTTCGGTGTCTTAACTGTTGATTATCTGATCTGTGTTGGTGATTTCAATGGTTTTAAGTCCTCTGACTGCTGTTGTGATTAAGGGCTATTCAAGAATAAATTGTATTATATTGTATGTCAACTGTAGGATTGGCACGTGTCAACTGCAATGCCAGCGATGTGAAAAGTACATTTTCAGGGCAGAACATTCCTTTGCACATTGTCCTTTTCAGTAGTCAATTTGACCGCTCATCAGCATCTCTGGGACAGCATTTAGAGCCTCCACTGTGATCGTTTTGGGCCTCATTCACAGGGCACATATTGGTGTTCTTCCAAATCATTTTCTTTTTAGGGATGAAACGCAGTCAAATGCAGCCAAGTGGGGTTATTCTGTGGACTGCAAAGCTCCATGACGTGAGCTCGAGCCAAAATATTATTGGTCTGTTGTTACAATGAACTGATGACACATGAAAAACCCTTTGTCTCCAGTGGCCAAGAATTCCCTCAGGCGCCAAATATAGAGATGATTAGATGTAAACGATTGAAGCAGAGCAAGAACTGAAAATTAATTATCCATCCATCGCAAGGTTATCCTGACCAGCCCCTACTCCAGGCTGATACATGTTACTGCATTCATTTGATCTTGGAAACTCAGATTAGGTATTTACAAGATTTGTATTTTTAACAATGAAGTACTCACACACCTTGTAAAAAGGCCTAATGATTCATATACATTTAAAGGTAATCTGTGTAATTTTTACAGTTAGTCCAAATGAAAAAAAACATGTTAACCAATAACAAATGTGACCTTTGTAAGAATATTTACCCACACCATGTTTTTGAATTGTTGTCATAGGCTTAGAATTTCACTTATAAACGTCCATGAGAGCTGGAGCACTTTACGTGTCAATGCGCCATATTGAAATATACAGTGGTTGACAAAAAGCAGTTTGAGTGGGGAGTTGGGGACCACTGTCAAAGACAACTTTTTGTCATGTGAAGCTACCGTAGTACAGTAGATTACAATATATGATCTCTATGCTAGATGGGAGTTAAAACTACACAGTGTACATTCAAATAATAGATTTATATGGCTTTGGAAATAGTGGGAAAGCCCAAATAACTGTGAAGATCAACTTATCAGTTAAGAAGGTCCTGGTTTGAATTCTATAGTCAGACTAGGGCCTTTCTGAGTAGAGTTTGCATGTTTTCCCCGCATCTGTGTAGATTTCCTCTGGGTGCTCTGGTTTCCCCTACCACTGTGTTATTTTCTTAGACGAACCAGCATAAAAGTTCCACTCAAGTTCTGGGAAAACGTGTAAACAGTCTACGCTGTTGTGAGGTGAGAATGCTAACTACGACGCCCCAGTTCAACCCATATTGTCGTGTGTGTGTCTTTGTGGTGAGCTCCCCGGTGCTTGCGGTGTGCCCTTCACTTGTGCGTATACGTGCCTCTCTCTTCTCTCTGTTGCTGGTGCTGTCTGCTGGATGGTCGCGTCTTCCCGTGGGACAGCCTCTGCTTGTGTGTTTGAGGCAGCACAAAGCAGCAGCACTTCTGAGCTCTGCTGATAAAACCGTGCAGAATCAGGGCAGAGGCGCAGGGTATGAGACGTCACCGTGGACCGGCTCTGGCTCCAGTCCACGTCCCTGTTCTGGTGCTAGCCCCAGGTGTGATGCCTGTAAACTTGTTGGTCCCAAAGCTGGTGTGAGCGTGTTGTAATGGGAGCTCATTACAGGGGGACAAAGTACTGTAAATATTTAAAAACCTGCCACTGCCACAGCTGCTGGGACAATCTGGACATATGCAGAGTCCAACAGATCAACAAAAACCTGATGATGTCACTGCTCCGAGACGATTGAAAATATGAATAATTTATGTTTCAAATGAGTTCCAAGGCCTGTTACGATTATTACTATATCAACATATTGCTGCTGGATAATACATTATATTTTGGCCTCAGTAATCATTGTTTGTTATTTCTAGTAGTGGGTAATACTTTGGTACCGTTGCATTTTTTGAGTTTTATGATACAATAAATGTGCACGATACCACTTTTTTCAAAATCGATACCAGTTTGTTGTAGAGTGGGTTGTGTTTGTGCTCCGGTGCTAGCAAAGGTGCTATACTCTGTGCGGTGGTGAGTTTTCAGATGTTTCATCAAGTTGCTGGTGTTATTCGTGTTTGTTTTGGACCCACCTTGTGACCTTTTTGCCTTACACAACGTACAGTCCGCTTTACTCGTGTTTACTTAAAAGAGACGCAAATTTAAAAAGTGGGTATCGGTTCCCCGGATCGGGTCCCATTTTATGGTATGACTACGAGTACAAAAACAAGCCTATGGTATTGACCCGATACCCGATACCCAATATCAGTATCAGTATCGTTGCATCCCTAATAAACGGGTGAATTACTTCCAATTACAAAAGCAGGTAAAATAATAATAATACAAATCCATGGCACTAGTTCTAAAACAGTTCTATTGCTATTTTTTACTTGCATGTATTTTAGGTCATGTTTTGATCAGCATTTCTTAGACAAATAAGTGTTGGGATATTGCTCCATAATCAAATGTTTTGTGCTTTTTACTGAGGATTTAACTCAATCCTACTGTATGTACTGTACAAGCCTGGAGTCGGCAAGAGCGTATCAAAAGCAGCTAATGAGATTATTCTGCGTCCTGACACAATTCCGTCGACTTGAGCGTTCTTTCCGTTTTTCCTGGTAAACCAAAACAAACCTGGACGCTGTTTTCTGTATACCCCTCTTGTCTTTTCATGTTCAAGTCCTGATATTTTATTTACGCTTTACCCAGTGTGTTCTTTCATTTGAGAGCTTGCTTTGATCTGGTTGCAGCTCGAGAAAGTTTTTTGACAACACTGAGAAAACTTGGCGAGTTTTTTTATCAGCATCATGCAAGCAAGATCTGCAAAGGCTTGAAATGGTTAATATGACATATGACAGAGCAGGTTTAAACTAGTCAGGGTTTCTCTTAGAATGGAGAAATCAGAATATTACTTTATGGTGTGAATGGTATAGGACTGGGAAGCAATGTAGTTATTAGTAGTAGTGTCGGTAGATTCTGTAGAATGAACACAGATGTCTACTTCTGTATATTTAATCAGTTAATACAAAAGTTTATTTACATTTTCAGGAGGGATAACATTTGAAAGGAGAGAGAATATCAATATATAAACTATTTTGAATGATAGCAATTAGTTGTGAGCAATATGAAACCGTTTTTTCTTTTTTAGACTAGAGAAATGTTTATGTATTTTTTAAGTAATTTTAAGTGCACTCAATCTGTTGATGAAATTTACCGTACAATACCATGCAGCTGATTTCATATTCATGTTTTGTTTGGTTGAATGAAAATGGAAGATTAAGAGCATGATCCACTCACCTCAGGAAACAACCCTTAGCACTGAGGATTAGCGTGAGTGTGCAAAACCAACCAGCATTTATATTTAACTAGACCCGATCTGCTTCACTCAGTGTTTTTCTACATTTCCCATGATGCCGTGGGACAAACAAACCCCGCAGGTCTCCATAGTTTTCAGTGGAGATATGTGGAGTCAGCAATTACAGGCCTGCAGATTCCGCTTCATCTCGAGAGGAGAAAAACTGGAACTTAATCAAAACAGCGGAACAAAATAAGAGAAAAAATGGAAGTAACAGGAACAGAATACAAAAGATAAAATGATTATGCTTTGGGTCAGAAGTGGGATGAAATTTGGGTTTTAGATGTTTGGCTGACAACAGAGAAACCAGAGGAAGTGAAGGAGAGCTGGAGGAGGGTGGACAGAGTGGGCCGACGTGTAATTTGCCTCCACCTTGTTCAGTCCGCTGTGTTATTGTGGTGTCAGTGATGGTTATTGTGACGGTTCCATCTGTGGGGGGCGCCATCTCATTTACAGAAATAAGAGGCTGCATTTCTTGCTCTCCTGAAGTCAAACGGAGGCAGCCATTTTAATGTGACCTTCAGACTCAAAATAATGAACAAACACACGTAGATGGACTGGGCTCTGTGTGTCTTCTTTGTGATTTTGAAGGGTCACTGTACATAATAAAACCATAATAAACTTTATCTTGTGTTCTCTCCACAGAACCGGTTTCACCTACAGATGGTGAAAGGTGTCCCGGAGTCCGGCCTATCCAACTTATTGTTGACAGTGTTGAAGCGCTCTGGCTGGAGAGAGGGGACCGTGGTGCTTTGTCGTGGATGGGAGGAGGCCCGGGGCCTCCTGGAGCTGCTCAATGATCGGACTGATGTGTCATGGGGAGGTGGTAACAGCTGGCACCTGCGTGCACTGCTCAACCTCACCCAGTCAGCTCACGATGACACTCAGATCCATGACTTCCTGTCCCGTCACTTCAGACACACTCAAGCCGCCCCTTCCTCTGTGCTGCTGTTTGGGGCGGACCCCCAGTGTGCTGCTGCAGTGCTCCACAGTGCTCAGGACCTGGGCCTCACACTTCCCATGGTGCACTGGGTCCTGGGACAGCCACTCAGCCCGGATGCCCTCCAGGCCATCGGACTTCCCCTGGGGCTGCTGGCTTATGGCGAGGTGGAGCAGAAGCCTCTGGACTTCTACATCCGAGACGCTCTGCAGCTGGTGTCCCGGGCCATCACCACAGCCAGCATGATACGGCCCGACCTGGCTCTGATCCAGAACATAGTGGACTGTTATGAGAAGCCCAACAGAGAAGAAGTACAGTCCTCAGGGCAGTACTTGTCCAGGTGAGATCGTCACTCAATCTTACTCTTCAAAACACCATTGAGGATGGACCAATTATCTGTTTCTTAAAGGTCTTCCATATTTTCTCTTCTCTTTTTTATTCTTCATTTGCTCACAGAGATGTATTTGTATCCTCAGAGACTCAGAAAGCAGAACTCTCAATTCCCTGAATATGTGACTTATACATGAGCAGATTTATTAAACTGTCCCCTTCACTGGCTCTGACCTGCAGCAGCTCATCTGCACATCTCATACTGGAAATAATGAGACTCGCATTCTGCCACTGCGCTGTGTCACAGTCTGCAGAAGATTATGGTAGATATTATTATTTAAAACATGTATTTATTATTGAATAAAAACCCAGATTAATAATAACAATTATACTCAGTAGTCCTTTATATAATACAAACATATTACTTTTCTACCCTACACAAGGAGGAGCTACTTTTGTTCTTTTGTCTATAAGTTACAAAAGCAAATGAATAGCTATTACTGGATTAAATGGAATAATTTGTAGATCAAAAGCAAGATACAGAGCTACAATGCCAAGTTGTGAAATATTATAGCCAGTGCAATACAATCTTTATTGAGGAAAGTAAACTTATTAGCACATTTTAATTTATTATATATTGTAGTGACCAGCATAAAGAGGGTTATTTGTGTTAAAGTGAGGCAAGATATGAGTTCAACACATGCAAGATGAAAGGTTTAGGTGGTGCATTCTCTTCTGATGGAACAAAAGATCAAACAATTTCACAAAAAATTAAATCACCCTGACGGTGAGAGACGATAAAGCCGTCAGAGGGTGGATTATTGACTGTAGCGGAATAAAGATCCCAAAAGGCTCATGAATCGTGAGAGAAATAAAAATGTAGGTTCAGATGCTTAGTGTGTTTAAATCTGATTGTCCACAAATCATGAGCCGCAGTTGTTCCTAACCACACGTCCACATCCTGATTGTGTGTCCTCTGATCCACAGCTTCCTGCTGAACACCTCCTTCCTCGGCCTGACTGGACCAGTGGAAGTTGACCAGAACAGCTCTCTGGTGCTCACTTCTCAGCGCTTCCACATCTGGAGCCTCCGGCGAGACGCCTTGGGTCAGCCCACCTGGGTGACTGTGGGCAGTTGGGACGGGGGGCACCTGCAGGTGGAGGACCAAGGCGTGTGGCAGGGGCCGAAGCCTCGCTACAGGGGTGACGGAGCAGGCAGGAGCAAGGGCCGCTGGAGGCCGGGTATGCCTGCGGCAGGGAGCAGGGTGCGAGTGGTGACTCTAGTGGAGCATCCTTTTGTGTTCACGCGGGACGTGGACGAGGACAGCAGCTGTCCAGCGGGACAATTCTGCTTAGACGCTGGGACAAATAATTCAGAGACTTTGGAGCGTTATTTTCGTGAAGTTGGCCGTGGGAATGCCAGTGTCCTGCCCAAAGAGGCTGCTAAGTGCTGTTATGGATACTGCATAGACCTACTGGAAAAGCTCTCAGAGGATCTCGGCTTTGAGTTTGACTTGTATATTGTGGGTGATGGGAAGTATGGGGCGTGGAAGGGAGGTCGCTGGACAGGCCTGGTGGGAGACCTTCTCAATGGTTTGACGGACATGGCAGTCACGTCCTTCAGTATCAACTCTGCTCGCAGTCAGGTGATTGACTTCACATCCCCATTCTTCTCCACGAGTCTGGGTATCTTGGTGCGCAGTAAAGATACAGCAGCACCCATAGGTGCCTTCATGTGGCCTCTGCACTGGTCCATGTGGGTGGGCATCTTTGTGGCTCTCCACATCACTGCTTTGTTCCTCACTCTGTATGAGTGGAAGAGCCCGTTTGGGATGACACCGCATGGACGAAACCGCATGAGGGTGTTTTCTTATTCTTCTGCACTAAACTTGTGCTATGCTATCTTGTTTGGGAGGACGGTCTCTTCAAAAACGCCTAAGTGTTGGACAGGACGCTTCCTCATGAACTTGTGGGCGATCTTCTGTCTACTGGTGCTGTCCAGCTACACGGCTAACCTGGCTGCAGTTATGGTCGGAGAAAAGACCTTTGAAGAGGTCACAGGAATACACGACGCTAAGGTGCGGACATACACTTCACAGCACAATGGAAATCATAAATTCAATTTTGCCATTTACAGTCAATCATTTAAAAAAGAGAAAAACTTGTATTGAGAAATTGAGAATAATACGTGTAACTGGCAGCTGTAATGAGCACATTAGTGAGCATTTATCCAGTTATTGTTTTTGCCTTTTAAACTGACAGCACTTTATGCTCCATAAAGCTCCCAGACGTGTTGGACATCGTTCATTAAGTGATAAATGCTTGAGCGATCCAAACCTGCAGTCCACAGATGCACCTTTTTTTTACTCAAACTCTATGTTTTCTAATGATTATTGATTCCTATCTTCCACATTCATTATTCTGTGTTAATGGAGAAATCCCGGAGAGCTGATAAAAGGATGAGTTTTCCCATTGCCCCGTTGTGACTTCAGTCTGAGCTGCTGAACTCTTGACTCATTATTCATTAACTTTCTGCTTCTTGTCATAAAATAATTGAAGATTAAATTTTCTCTGTGGATCACCTGCTTCGTCCTAATTACGCTTTTAATTCAGCTGCTGATTGGACCATCAAGCACGTCTGCGGGTGTTTATGCAGCGCGACGGCGAAGGGCTTTGGCACATTTTAATTGGTCGCCAGTCTGTGTTGTGATTGCACAGTCAATTCTTAACGAGAAAAGACTGGAGAGTTAAGGGCTGATGTGTAGATTGTAATCTTTCTTCCACTCCCTGTTATTGTGTTGTTCTCTGTTTTCCGGCGTCTGCAGCTGCACCATCCGTCCCGGGGTTTTCGTTTTGGCACGGTGAGAGAGAGCAGCGCCGAAGATTACATGAAGAAGAGTTTTCCGGAGATGCACGAGTACATGAGGCGTTTCAATGAGCCCACCACACCTGAAGGGGTCGCCACTCTGAAGTAAGGCACCACATACTCCTGCACTTACCCCGGCTAAATATAGGCATGTGGTTAACCTGTGGAGTCAAATGTTCTACTCTGGGGCAGGAATCGACAGTGCAACCTAGGGCGGCAATGAGCGATTTTTTTTTTTATTCTTAGCAAATTCAATTATTCAATTAATATATTTTTCTTATTACCATCTCATGAAAAAAGTACAATGAGAAGTACTTAATAAGATTGAAATCCCGTTTTCTGTCGAATCATGAACCAGTTTAGATTAATAGGCTTTTTATCAAAAGAATTATATTGAAATGTTTATTTTTGTGAGAGCTGCATCAAATTTTCAAGAAAATTTGTCAAGATGATTCAATAATAAATCGAATCATTCTGCCACTTACCAAGAACAGTACGTCCATACTGCTTTTCATGACGCCCAAAGACGATTCACATGGAATTTTTCATTCACTTCACAAACAGCAGTGGTAAAATACTGCCTTGGGGCAGACTGACGAAGGTGAGGCAACTAATCTGTGCCATTGGCCCCTTTGACCATCATCATCATCATCATCATCATCATCACCTCTGTTTATTTCGACACTACACTAATGATGAGGGAAATTCTTTTTGCACAATATATTTCCAGTAGTTACTTTAGGTTGTGATAAAGTATAATATAGCTCTGGAAAAAACAAACATTGCGCCACTGACTTTTTCTGGCTTGTGTAGCTGTATGCCATGTCTGCTGAGAGTGCAGGCCCTTTGTCGTTTGGGAAATTCAAAGCAGCAACGGAAAGCCAAGATAAAGCTGTTGGCCATGCTCAAAAATCAAACCTTACAAAATCTATGACATAAGTAATAGTTTAACGCTAGTTTAGCTTCACACATAATTAAAATGCAGTCCCCCATGCAGTGTTGAAGACCCTCGCCACACCACAAACCACAGAGTATAAGTGCTTGAGTTCTGTGTTTTTCCATGCAACATGTATGGTGTCCGTCCTTCCGTTTTCTTCCACCTTAATCCATTTCTGGGTCGGGGTTTATATAGTGTTGCCACGGTAAAACAACAACATAAAGAGGTAAGTCGTTTTGTACTTTTATGTTTAAATTTCCTGGTTGATTAACGGCTGATTTGTAATGAACAGACTTCCAAACCACAACGGTGCGGCAATGCAGTGGTGGTGGGAACGGGAAACACTGCACTATGACATCACATTCAGGGCCTTTTTCTGCCTTCTTAAATCAAAAGTGTTGCCCATTGATTACTTTTAGCAACCTCTGTGAAAGGTGAGATGATGAGGAATCTCATGGCTGTGTTTGCAGCTGGTGATGATAGAAATATAAAAAAAAAAAAAAAAATCAACTTCTTTTTAATTTGCAAAAATAATGCGTAGTTCTTCAAATTGTAATGCTTTTTTTTTTTTTAGCAAGGTTAAAAACTCATTGAGATAAACAATCTCTTGACAAGGAAAACATACTGTATATATTATTAATTGAGATTGATATGTAATTATCATACTCAATAAAGGATGTGTTAATATTAATTCGGCTTTAAATATGGTTCAACGATTTACTTCACCTTTTTCCCATTCAAATATTATTTACATTGTAATTACTATGGCAACATTCCTTACTTTCTTATTCTAAAACTGAATGAAAAGGCAATTTTAAGCTTTTGAAGAGACACTAGGAGATCTGCCATGTGCGTTGTCATATATGACATATATACAGCAGAAAAAAAATGTATTGTATTTATTGAACACAGTCTTCAAAATAAAGACCTTTGACTTTTCAATCTTGTGGTTTTAGAGGTCACTATTTTCTATAAGTTCATTTGTTTGGGTTCATCAGACAGTTCCTTGATGATCTAAGGCTTGGACTTTCTGCTCAATTTCACCCCATCATCTCTGCTGCGGCTTTGGACTCTGAAGCTGAGGCTCATAGGGCCGTGTTTTAAAGTTTGGTTTCCATAGTGATGAGTCAGTTTCACTCCAGACACACTGAACACACAGACATAATAATTTATGAATAAGGAGCAAGTTGGTCACAAGCAAATAAAAGATGAGTACACAACAACAATCACTCTATCTGGCAACCTCAAGACAAATAGATTTTTAGCTGTGTACAAATACAAGTTTCATGATATAAGTCCAAATCTGTATATACTCAGTTTTGTCAATCTTTGTCCATCACAGCTCAGCTCCGGTAGTAACTGTGTGTCTCTGTGTTGAAGGACAGATCCCCCTGAGCTGGATGCTTTCATCATGGACAAAGCCCTCCTGGACTATGAAGTGTCCATCGATGCTGACTGTAAGCTGGCCACTGTGGGGAAGCCGTTTGCCATAGAAGGTAAAACATGTGAAAGGTGTCACACCGTCAAACAAGCCTCACATTTTAAGTTATTCAAGCTAAAGAGGAGTAACAGTAATAAGTTATAGCTAAACAATAGCTTATTTCTGACTGCAAAGTTTTAACTAAATGTGATCTTTAGTCATGCAATTTAGCATTTGAGTGTGTGTGTGTGCGTGTGCATGTATGTATATGTGTAAACATGTGTGTTGAGTGTATGTGTGTTATGTGTGTATGTGTGTATGTTGTGTTCTGTTTTAGTGTGTGTATACGTGTGTGCTGTGAGTGTGTGTGTGCGTGCTGTGTGTGTATATATGTATGTTGCGTGTGTACAGTGCCTTGCGAAAGTATTCCCCCCTTGAACCATTCAACATTTCGCCACATTTCAGGCTTCAAACATAAAGATATAAAAATTATTTTTTTTGTCAAGAATCAACAACAAGTGGGACACAATCGTGAAGTGGAACAAAATTTATTGGATAATTTAAACTTTTTTAACAAATAAAAAACTGAAAAGTGGGGCATGCAATATTATTCCATTTCTTCCAGAATGGTCCTGTATTTGGCTCCATCCATCTTCCCATCAATTTTAGCCATCTTCCCTGTCCCTGCTGAAGAAAAGCAGGCCCAAACCATGATGCTGCCACCACCATGTTTGACAGTGGGGATGGTGTGTTCAGGCTGATGAGCTGTGTTGCTTTTACGCCAAACATATCGTTTTGCATTGTGGCCAAAAAGTTCGATTTTGGTTTCATCTGACCAGAGCACCTTCTTCCACATGTTTGGTGTGTCTCCCAGGTGGCTTGTGGCAAACTTTAAACAAGACTTTTTATGAATTACGCCCCACTTTTCAGTTTTTTATTTGTTAAAAAAGTTAAATTATCCAATAAATTTCATTCCACTTCACAATTGTGTCCCACTTGTTGATTAATGACAAAATATTTAAATTTTATATCTTTATGTTTGAAGCCTGAAATGTGGCGAAATGTTGAAAGGTTCAAGGGGGCCGAATACTTTCGCAAGGCACTGTATATGCTTGTGGTGTGTGTATGCGTGTGTGTTGTGTGTGCATACGTGTATGTGTGTGTGTGCTGTGTGTGGGGTGACGTTCACTTCCTCTTACCGATGTATTCCAAAAATAAGTTTCTTAATGTTTCATCATCACAAGCATCAGAGCTGAGCCAAGTCTCCTCAGACAGATTCCAGTTTGCCTTGAATCACTTTCACCTGCTGACTGACACAAAGTACGCATTAATCACTCTGCTCTTAACACACGGGAAAGGAATATTAATTTTCACCAAGTGCTTTGCTCTGGAGGAGAGTTGCATTTTATGGAGCTACTTCCTAGCACCATAAAATGACTCTAATTTCTTGTAAGAATTACATTGTAACAATTTAAAATTCCTTTGATTTAATGCACTTTTACTATTGAGATGGGTGGAACATTCAATTTTCCGTTATTTACAGCTCCTTGCTGTAGTCATACTCTGGCCGGATTCCCAGACTTCCATATCCAGGCACACTTCCTCATGGATTATCTCAAGGTGTTCCCAGGCCAGCAGAGAGACACCTGCTCCTCTAGGACATGCCCAGAACACCTCCTCAGGGAGGCACCGAAAGCATTCAATACAGATGCTCCTGTCAGCCAGCAGCAGCTCCACATGAAGCTCCTGAGCTCCTTGGGAGTTTCCAGTCACTCTGTGGAGAAAACTAATTTCAACCACTTTTATTCAGAATGTTGTCCTTTCAGTCATTACCCAAAGTCCATGACCACAGGTGAAGGTGGGAATATAATGATGGCACATTTCCTCTAGACTCAGCCAAAGAAAACACATTCCTCCCTCATGTCATTCAAAATTAGAATCTTACATAGCATGGCTTATAGAAGCAACAAAGTCTGCCACAGGTGATGAAATGTGAGTGAGTAAAATACATTTCATGACATTAAAATAGAAGGATGCAATAAAAACTGATAAACAAAACTACTTCACCAAAGGTTTGATTGTGGTTAAATCTTTCAACAAAACTTCTGCATTATGTATTTTATTGCATATTGTCTTTGAATATTTTGCTAAAATACTGCTGCTGTTGTTACAGGATATGGTATAGGCCTCCCTCAGAACTCTCCCCTTACCTCCAACCTGTCAGAGTTCATCAGCAGATACAAGTCCGATGGCTACATGGACCTGCTTCACGACAAGTGGTACAAGATGGTTCCCTGCGGCAACCGTGGCTTTGTGGTGACTGAGGTCGGTTATCAAAGCCATTATCAGAGTTAGTTATTGCTTTAGATGCAATGTTACTCACTGAACGTTTAACTCATCAACATCATAGACGTGAAGAGGAGTAGAATCACTGAAAACTCACGTCACCCTCAGCTTTTGGCTTATCCCGGAAGTCCTTACTAAACTTCAAGGTTAAATCACAAAACAAGAAAATGCATACTTCTCCACAGGTTTATTTTAAGTGTTTAGAATATGTGTACTCGTAGAACACATATCCTCCCCAATTCAAAATGACATCCCATCTACACACCAAATTTCAGCTCCATTCCCCCGGTAGTATATTGTGCAATCCAGTCTGTAGATTCGGGGTAGAAACAAGTAAAGAGCAACTTATGGAAAAAAGCAGAATGCCAATTTCATGTGAGGTTGACTCGTGTTTGGAAATACTGTATGTTGTCATAAAACATCTGTATTCCTCTTCCATATATGTTGTGTTGTTGCAGACTCTTCAGATGGGCATCAGTCACTTCTCGGGTCTGTTTGTGCTGCTGTGTGTCGGCGTGGCGGGGGCCTTGCTAACTCTGGCCGGTGAGCATGGATTCTTTACATTCATCCTGCCGCACATCCGCAGACGACAGAACCTCAAATACTGGCTGCACACCTCTCAGGTTGGACACGCCTACTATAGACTCCCATGGGTGCCTCCTGTGCTCAGAGACGCTGTTAACTTTCCTGTATTTGGTTTGACAGAAAATCCACAGAGCTTTGAATATGACCTATGAGGATGTGAAGAAGCAGCGTGCAGAACGAGAGAAAAGGTTTGTCCTTCTGTGACAGGATTGTGCAAGGGCGGATCTTGGAGATTTTGATGCAGGGGTGGTCTAGGTGTAGTGAGGCTATGCATGCCTAATTAATAATAGATGAATATGAAATTATTGCTTGAGAACAGGGGATTTTGAAGTGAGCTCTTAAGGAATGAACGGAAGTTTAAGGCAGTGTTTCTCAATTATTTTCTGCCAGGCCCCATCTTGAAAGAAAAAAAGAAATTCACCCCCATTACATCTTTAGATAATGATAATGCTGTTTCAACTACAGTTGAACCTGATGAAATCTCACACAACAAAGAGACAAAGTTAATATTTTGCTTGTTACATTGTCACAAGGAGAATGTCTTGACAGAGGCAAGGCACAGACCCCAGCCTCTCTCAGGACAAGTCTGAAGATTCACAGTCTGCAAGCCCCTTTTGGTAGAACAAGACACACCTGCGTATGAATCAGAATCCGAATCATTTTTATTGCCACGTAAGTAACAGGAAGTCACAGACTTGCAAATTGCTTTGGCTCAGTGCAACAGTGAGAAAGAGATAATAAAAAAAATGCAGAATAGGAAAGGAAGAAACCAACACAACAAAAGACACTCCGTATTAGCGTATACAAAGACTGCTTCCTCTGCTGTTTAACATATGAGCTCCCCAGACCTCCCGGAGTGTCTCTGGAGCTAAAGTGGATTACAATACAGAGCATTCAGCACATAGACACATATGATTTACCAAAATGATAACTTAAGTTACATTCCAATATCAGATAAGCTCTGAAGATGTTCTCTTAGCCAAAAAAGTGGAGCTCTTTCTTAAAAGTTTGCAAAAGATTTAGTGGGGTCTAGATGAGAGCGTCTGCTCAGTGCTTTTCCAGAAGAAGTAGGGGAACCACTAGTTGAGAAGGACTACACTAAGAGTTTGCATGTGTATCAAAGTTTCTAAAATTGCTTATAGCTCACCCAGATAGAACTGAACCATAAAACACTATTTTATTTATATACACAGTTTGGCACTTATATTGAATAATAAATGACCAAATTGAATGCTAAAAATATGTTATTGTTCTGTTGTATTCTTTTGTTGCATGGTGTGTCCAGCTGTAACCTGGACAAGTCCCAAGCCCCTACAGGACCAGCACCACCAACAGCAGGAGCTGCAGCCAAGTGGAACAATGAGACTCCAAAGGAAGAGGCTACTGCCCCACCCATGGATGCCAGAGACTTTAAACGTGTCCACTTCCATCTCGAGACCCTGAACACTCGCCGCTTGTTGGCTCGTCTTGCCGCCTCTGATGCCAAAGCAGCGGTGGGCAAAGGTGACGGACCCCCGCGGCCTGAGCCTGAAAAACCCTTGCCTACATTTGGCAGGGTGTGTGAGAACGGAGGACCATCTTTGGCCAGCTTGGTCCTAGCATTACCCAAAACATGTGCCACCACTTCATCCACCTGCTCCGCTTCTATACGTACAAATGTATCTACACCCCGGGCCGTCACTCCTGTCTCCACTACTGCCCCTCCAACAACCACAGCTACCACACCCCCCGCTGTCGTGGCCCCGCCCCGGCCTGGCGAACTAGAAGAGCTGCAGGTACAAATTGAGGAAATGCGAGAGCGACTGAAGGTTGCACTGTCCCGCAGGGCTGAAATTCAGACCACTCTATCCAAACCTGTTCCAACAGCAACAACCAACGACCCCCCTATTTCTACTTCAACCACAAATACAAATACAACTACAAGTACAATCTCTACCACAACCACAACTGTGACAACATCTTCATGTGATCCCACTCTTACTGTGTCCACTGTCACCACAGTAACACCACTTCCAGCAAACACTAAATGTGTGACCACAATGACAGCCCTCCCTCACAAAGTCCTGTCCAAAGTGCGCCCCTTTCCCAGCAGACTGTCCAACGAGAGAAGGTGATGCTCCCAGGTGATCGGCCATGGGACTTTTTGCACAAAGTGTTCCAAACAGCCATGCTGAGAATCTTTTAACAACTTTTAAATTGTGTCTTGTTCATTGTGGACTAAATCTTCCTAAATATGACTTGGTTTTTTTGTTTTCTAGTTCAAACTGACATTTTCAGTAGAATGATGGTTGACAGATCCCTCATCTGTCCTGCCATGACAGGAGATAAAGCACTTTTGGCAAAGGCTGAGATGGACCTGAAAAAAGAGAGATGCTGCAGAAAAAAACATTGTAGAAAAAATGTTGTTTAAAATATCAACAATAATAATTATACAATGTTGTTTGTGGATTGTTGATTATTTATTGTCTTTCTGAAGCACTCAGGTTTTAATAAGTGTAGTTTCCAATAAAATCTATGATCCTCTGTGTCCTATTATAGTTAATGCACAAATGCAAAGAGGTTATACAATACATATATTTTGATAATACAATAAAACTTTGTTGTTTTGTTCGTTAACTGGACTCATTTTACATAGACGGGCGGCACGGTGACAGAGTGGATAGCACTCTCGCCTCTCAGCAAGAAGGTCCTGGGTTCGAATCCCGGTCGGACCAGGGCCTTTGTTCTCCCTGTGTCTGCGTAGGTTTCCTCCGGGTACTCCGGTTTCCCCTACCACTAAAAATATGTCTAATAGTTCTGGCATGCGCCTCCTGTACTGGCGACCCCGCTCCCATCTCTGTGTGGAGTGAGAGACAAATGCCCAAAATTAACAATTGTAAACCAGATCTGCAGTGAAAAGGTGGTATATAAATAAAGATTACTTACTTACTAACTTAGACATGAAATCCGAGGGGAAAAAGAAAGTACTACTCAATTGTTCATAAAAAGTAAATACATTTTCATCTTCCCTGATATACTCGTTTTTGGCATAAAAATGTGGGTCGATGACTATTATAATCAATGAATATAATAAACCTCTGGCTCCCTCAAACGGTTACATTTAGAAACTACAAGTAAAAGAGGCGTTGGCATCAGTAATCTCGCGAGATTTCGATTTCGTCAGGATTCATTTGGCGCACGATTCCATCCTGGAGGGCATCGTCGGGGTTTGGTTTCACAAATAACGTTAGAAATATCGTATCCGTTCATTATACTTTGTATTGAACTCCTCGGCAAGAGGCCCACCCACCTATAGGTAAGATATTATATGAGCGTAGTACACACTGCGTGCTCATAGATCGCTAGCAGTTAGCTTAGCCTCGGCTTCCTTTGTGCAGAGAGGAGCTAACAGCGTGTTCTCCCGCAGAGTGCGGTCACACACTCGGTCATTTAGTCTGAGGTCTTTCTGTAAATGAGGTTGTAATCATTTATTATGTGTTATCCGCATGAGTGGTATCCACTATGTGCATGTGTGTTGTGTAACCCAGTGAAGCTAAGCTATCGTAGGCTAAACGTATCCCCGTGGTTCAGACGATGCTTTCGTTAAGCCAAATGCAGTACCTAAAGCTCATTTATGTGGAATACCCAGAGGTTAAACGCAGATGGAATTGGCGTTAAGTCAAACTTTTCAAATATGTTTTATCACTTTTTGATGTAGGTTCTCAACGTAAGGAACTTCGACCTCATGGCTCACAGACAAAGACAAAGATACCTCAAGGTGAGTCCAAAACAATTTGATCTTTTTGAGTGTTTTGTTCTAAGACATTGCGTGTGTTAAGCATTGTTTAAAACTAAAACGTACTTTCTGTAATTGTAGGTGTGTCAACCAAGCCATGCAGATGAAGACAGCAATGACGACGGCTCTGAAAAGGTGATTTCTAAAATCTTACATTCATCCTGTAGCACTTTAGTAAGAGGGGCTCTTTAGTTAACCGGGCTCGTCCAGGAGGCAACAACCCAGATTGTTTTTTCTGTGTTGACTGGATTCATGCTGTTCAGCTTTATAATGGCTGTGACAGGGCTGAAGTCGGATGTAAGATAAATCTTTCCTGCAGCATTAACATCATTTTGTGACAGAAACAAAACCATATGTCTGTATATTCAAATACAAGGACAAATTCCTGAGGTTGACAACATATAAAACATACAACATGCTTATATGCATGACTGAGCTGAATTTGGCTGGATGACACTGTAAGGCTGTGTTCATGATCTCCAAGACTATTGTAGTTAAACAAAGTATGTTTAATGGCAAAGCGCCAAATACCATTAGAGGGAGCTGTACCATGGACCTTAGCTTGGACCTGCATTACATAAACTCTAACCAGTACCTGAGAAGGATTTATTGTATTTGAAATGTCTCAATAAATGCAGGTTTTGTAATGTTTAATGACTATAATTCTAAAACTCATTTCGGTGTGCTACACTTTTCCATGACATCAAAACATTGTAAAGAAAAGTACACTTCTTACTAAATGGAAAATATTTAATCTCAAAATGTACTCATTTTTAAATATTTTTTATACACCCAACAATAGTAATGATTTCCTGGTATTTATGTGAACTGTCTTGGTTCTCAAGCTCATTGTTGAGAACTCCTAGTGAACCAGAATGAGCCACACGTTCTGATTTGCCTGTTTTAAGTTCCCCTTCAACCTCCTCGGCACTTGCAGCAAACCAGTTTAATTTAATATGTGACCAAAATTAAACTGAAAAAATTGACCAAAACTGGGTATTTGCTTCCTGGTTTAATATGGACGTAAGGTGTGACTGAGAATATAAAAAAAGGTAAATTGATGTCTGCTACCCTTGAAAGACCACTGAAGAGATCCTTTATTTGTCCCACAGTGGGAAAATGTCACTTGCTCTAAGCCAATCTATTTGACTGTTTTTCTGTTTTTTGCAGCTTGGCTTTGATGAGAATCAGATGGAAGATGACAATTCCAGAACCAACTTGATAGTGAATTATTTGCCCCAGAGCATGTCCCAGGAGGAGCTGTTCAGCCTCTTCAGCAGTGTGGGCGAGGTGCAGACGGCCAAGCTCATCCGGGACAAAGTTGCAGGTAACTAGAGAACGTCAAATCTCACTGCGTCTACACCACACATTACCCCCCAAGACTGCGCCTTAATAACATGGAATTGTATTAAAATATTTTCCATTTTGGACTAGTAGGCGACTAAGTATGAACAATGTTCCCTCTAATTTTTCATGTATTTGATAAAAACTTGTGAATGATGTGGTGATTAAGGGGACGGTGGCACAGATTGATAGCCTTGTTTTGGTCACTACAGTGTGGAGTGAATGCAAAATTACTGAATGCAGTGTAAAGGCATTTTCTCAGGAGCGTTTGTCTTAATTAAATCGCGACACCCCTACTAGTTTCAAGATTGCTTTCAACGTTCCAGATCAACTGCTTAGCGTTATGGGGATTCTCTTATTTATTGACTTGGAAAAAAGGTATAACAAAAGACCTGTTTTGGTTTTATTTCAAAAAATCAAAGTTCTCTTGGGCAGTTTTGTTTACAAACTACATGTAGTAGTTGCCACAAAAGACGTTGGTCTTCATGTCTTCAAACTCTTCTCAAATTCTCTTCAAAAAATTTTTAGTTACACTCCTGTGGACATTTTTGAGTCAAGATTTTACTTTCAAAACCAGAGCCGACCACAACATTGGTGGGAGTTTGCTGCTCTTTAGACAAAGAACCAACTCAGCAAAGTTTGTCACATTCATGTTGCTCTCAATGAACTTTGAGAACAATGAACTGTACTTTTTTATTTTGTGCACAGGGTCAGTGAGGGTAGTGTGCAGCTTAGAGGGAACATTGATTGACTAGTCGAAGCCAGAATAAACAAATTGTCATATAAAAATGGCTGACTTGTAATAAATGGCAATATCCTATTTATAAATCTATTTTATTTTCTTTAATTATTTGTACACTTTAGACCTTAAGATGTGTTCAGTTTTATTTTCGTTATGGACAATTTCTATGTACATTTATTTTTCAGTTTGTCTTTTACACTTTATAGTTTTTTGGTTTGGCACAGACCCAAACTTATTTTAGTTTACTATGACACTTTTTAAAGCAATCACTCCCTGCACTAGTGCTTGGGAACTTTTGTATTTTACTGTGTTTAGGAAATGTCAATGTGTTTCATTTACAGTCAGTTTGATTTCATATTTATGACTTTAGCTATGTACTTTGTTTTCCTGCCAGGTGTGATAGGTATCTTTTTAATTTACTAAAATGTCAATTGTGTTGATTTCACTTGTACATTGTTATCTTATTGAGTCTTGCAAGTAATATTTAGTTTAACCCCTTATCATTCAGTCCTAAAAATCATCAGGTGTTATTTATCCAAATGCCTGTCATTGGTTTGAAAACCCATTGGAGGATAAAAAAATCTTTCTAAAATATATCACTGGGCGGTCTTTGCCCACGTTTACATTCTGTTCATCCCAATTACAGTAAATATAAGGTTAATGTCTCATCTCTGATTCGTTGGAATGCTACGGGGTTACTGCTAAATGTTTTATTTTTGTCTTAACTTTTTGATAATGTTTTCCTGTATAAGTTTATTGCTGTGACCTTTTCAGCACTTGATCTGATGTATTAATTTGATTACCTTTGTTTTCTTTGTTAAATTCCAGGTTTCTGTGCATATAAGTCGAGCATTCTTTTTAATGTTGTGGACGCTGTGAAGAAAACAGCTGTGTTGTTTTATTTTGTTTTCCTTTTTTTTTTCTAGGCAACAGTTTAGGTTACGGCTTTGTTAACTTTGTTAACACTAGTGATGCAGAGAGGGCTATCAGTACCCTCAATGGCCTGAGGCTACAGTCTAAAACTATCAAGGTAAAGTGCCAAAGGAGCTCTTTGATTTTCATGTCTCTACTGGTGTGCACTGTCATGTCCTGAGCCTCGCGGAGCAGAGAGCGCTCTTCCACATTATCTAATGGAGAAAGGTATCTGTTTTTTTTTTTTTTTTTTTTTTTTACGCTGTTAAATCTTTGGAATCTTAATTTTTATTTTGAGTTTGAGAATTGACACTGTCTGATCTTTGGCTGTTTTTAATGGTCCAGAGGGACAGTGTGACTGAATTGTTTTTTCTTTCACTATATACTTTATTTTGTTCGGTAAAAAAAATGATATTTGATGTTTTTTTTTCTTTTTTGTAAAATTGTTTAGACGATTATTTGAGCCACCTGTAAAATAATTTGGAAAATACTTTTTATTAATGTACTTTTTTTTTTTAAATTATTATTACATTACTTGCAATTTTTTTCTATTTGGCTCATGCGGTGAAAGGCGAACACTGAAGCATCTCTGCTGCCCTCTGCAGGTTTCTTATGCACGACCAAGTTCTGATCTGATCAAAGATGCAAACCTGTACATTAGTGGACTGCCCCGGACCATGAGTCAGCAGGACCTGGAGGACCTGTTCTCACGATTTGGCCACATCATTAACTCCAGAGTATTGGTGAATCAAGCATCTGGTAAGATTCAATTATCATTTATTAAGCCTAGAAACTGTGGATACTTTTTTTTCTTTTTAATTCTAATTGTCACTTTGCTTGTTATTTAGGTCATTCTCGTGGGGTTGCCTTTATTCGTTTTGACAAAAGGTCTGAGGCAGAAGATGCAATTGAAAGCCTCAACGGCCAAACTCCACCTGGCACCTCTGAGCCAATCACAGTCAAGTTTGCTGCTGCCCCAAATCAAACCAAGACCCAGATGGGTTCCCAGTCCTACCAGGCACGCCGCTTTGGAGGACCTGTCCATCACCAATCCCAGCGCTTCAGGTAAATAAGTTAAAACTACTTGGGGCTGGGCGATATGGCAAAAAAAATCTAAATCCCCATGGAGCCTAAGTGTAAAAGGAAATAAGTCTAAAAACATGCTTGTAAACGAGATGGCCCTGCCATTGTAAACAATGAAAATGTAGCTTAATAGTTTTCTTATAACTTAGTGACACAATGCACCTTCAAAATAACTTCCATCCATCCATTTTCTTCCGCTTTATCCGTTGCCGGGTCGCGGGGCAGCAGTCTAAGCAGAGACGCCCAGACTTCCCTATCCACACACACCTCCTCAAGCTCGTCCGGGGGGACCCCTAGGCGTTCCCAGGCCAGCTGAGAGACATAGTCTCTCCAGCGTGTCCTGGGTCTTCCCCGGGGCCTCCTCCCGTGGGACGTGCCCGGAACACCTCCCCAGGAAGGCGTCCAGGAGGCATCCTGAACAGATGCCCGAGCCACCTCAACTGGTTCCTCTCGACGTGGAGAAGCAGCGGCTCTACTCCGAGCTCCTCCCGTGTGACCGAGCTCCTCACCCTATCTCTAAGGGAGCGCCCAGCCACTCTGCGGAGGAAGCTCATTTCGACCGCTTGTATCCGCGATCTCGTTCTTTCGGTCATTACCCACAGCTCATGACCATAGGTGAGGGAGGGAACGAAGATTGACCGGTAAATTGAGAGCTTTGCCTTTCGGCTCAGCTCCCTCTTTACCACAACGGTCCGATACAGAGACCGCATCACTGCGCACGCTGCACCGATCCGCCTGTCAATCTCACGCTCCATCCTCCCCTCACTCGTGAACAAGACCCCGAGATACTTGAACTCCTCCACTTGAGGAAGGACCTCTCCACCCACCTGGAGAGGGCAAGGCACCTTTTTCCGGTCAAGCACCATGGCCTCGGATTTGGAGGTGCTGATTCTCATCCCAGCCGCTTCACACTCGGCTGCAAACCGTCCCAGTGCATGTTGCAGGTCCTGGTTCGTTGGAGCCAGCAGGACGACATCATCCGCAAAAAGTAGAGATGAAATCCTGTGGTTCCTGAACCGGACCCCCTCCGGCCCCTGGCTGCGCCTAGAGATTCTGTCCATAAATACAGTGAACAGAACCGGTGACAAAGGGCAGCCTTGGCGGAGGCAACATGCATCAAAATAACTTAAATCGCACAAACGAGGGCCATAGCAAATATATCATTTATCATATTGTATTAAACACATGCATTATTTACATGAAATATAAGATAAATAATATCTTATCTCACAAGGAGGAGATAAATAAATTTTTTAAAACTGATTACTCAAAATACAAGCCTCCTCCTTGGGGTTTTTATGCTTGTTCTTTCAACTGCTGTTGTGTTGTACAACGCTCGGTCCAGCTGGTGGCGCTAATACAAACTTCAGTGACTTCCGCATTGTGCGAGTTAAGTTTCCTGTTTACATTCTGCTACTGTAGCTAACAGCTACTAGGGGTGGGAACCTCAGGGTACCTCGCGATACAAAGCTCACAAAAACTATTATAAATTATATAACGATATGACGATTTATCGATTGGTCAGAAATATGCCAATTTATGGCATAAATAAAAGTGTTAAGTGAAAAAATACACTTTATTTCATGATAAATGGAATGGAGTTGGTAATGTAGTCATATCAAGTATTGATACTAATCAAGGCCAGTGTACATACACCCAAATGTTACGCGCATATGTGCGCTGTTAACGCCTACTGTGTAAATTCCCTGTCAGACGTGCCCTTCCCCAAAGTGCAGTGGCTCAGTGGGACACGTGTGTGTGCGTTGCGGACACGGGAGCGCGCTGAGAAATGAATTGAGAATGAAAGATGTGGCTTACGCAGAGCTACCGGAGCCTGCGTGTTTGTGTGTTCTGGCGATTAAATAAAGTCTAATTCTTGAACTTCTTAAGTGTTATTGCAACAGCACCAACTGTGAGAGTGAGCGTCAGGCCAGAGGGTGACTGCTCAACACCATAGACTCGCGGTTAGCGTCTTAGCACTATAGCTCTGCGCTAGAGAAATTTTTTTTTTTTAAATGTTTCTATAAAAAGATATCCCCTAAGCGTAAAATTTGAAGTAATAATTAAAATCGATTTATCGTCCAGCTCTAAAACTGCTTAAAGCTTCCATATGTGAGGTAACCCCGATTAATTAGGCAATTTCTGAGGTAGTTATTGTTTTCAACTTAAATAATTCTGTGCCCTGATGCTGGTATTGGTGAGTAAACTGTGATATTGCTATAGTAATGGACTCCTGAACTAACACACAAACAGCATTTCAGTACAAAGGGTTTATAAAATAGTATTGTAATCCAGGATTCGGCCGAATATTGGCTTTTTTGTTGGGGTTCGGTTTCTGGCCGAACCTTAGAATTTGTCCCCACCAAACCCTGCGCTTACACTATGCGCGCTGTCTCGTTCAGGAAACCGGATGCGTCCGAAATTTGTTTGCGGATGTCAAAAAGTGTAAATAAACATGTAAACAGTTTGTGTTGTTATATACCGATTATATTATTGATTTGTGCTCATGTATCGAGGTTTATTACGAGAAATGGCAGGAAAAAAGCTCAGACTAGCCGGCAGCGAGCGCCCACATGTGTTCAAAGGCACATGGAAAACACACGGTTTACCTTTTTATTTTGAATAATTATTTCAGGGATACACATAACAGGTGTATGATTAAACTAATAAAGGACAGTGAATCTAATCAAGAATTAAACTGTTAGCCTCATTTCCTTGTGCCTTTGAACGCATCTCGGCGCTAGCTGTGCGGCTACTAAGAGTATTTTTTCTCAAATACAGTAGCTCCGGCTGTGTGAGTGAGAAAGTGAAAATGGAACTCGTGAGCAGAAAGTGTTTGGCAGTACATTCAGTCCAATGATTCTAGTCGAGCTACATGTTCAATTTGCAATGCTGATTTGTCTTGTGGTGGTAAGGACCCTAAACAACATTGCCGCTGTTAAAACATTTGCGTATAAAACATTAATGGACTGAGGATGGAGTATTCAGATTCAGCAGAATCTTAACCAGTGGATTCGGTATTCGGCCGAACCCCACAAATTTGGATTCGGTACATCCCTAATTGTAGTAAATGAAGGATTTAACGGTTGTATGAATAATCATGGACTAATGAAATCCTTTCAGGAGAGTCAGAAGGTTCATCTTTAACGGTTTCTCTTCCAGGTACTCTCCCATTAACGTCAGTCATGGAGGCGGAGGAGGAGGTGGAGGAGGCGGCGGCGGTGGAGCAGAAGGCTCGAATGGTTGGTGCATCTTCATCTACAACTTGACTCAAGATGCCGACGAGTCCATGCTGTGGCAGATGTTTGGTCCGTTTGGAGCCGTAGCCAACGTGAAGGTCATCCGCGACTTCCAAACAAACAAGTGCAAAGGCTTTGGCTTCGTCACTATGAGCAACTATGAAGACGCCGCTATGGCCATCCACAACCTGAACGGGTACCGGCTGGGAGACAAGGTCCTACAGGTGTCCTTCAAAACCAGTAAGCAGGGATACTAGTCCTGCTCTGTCTCCAGCCCGTGTCTTGTGCTGTTTTGAATGCTACACGATAGCAGCATTTTCTTTGCTTTTTTTATTCAGTACAGGCTTTGTCCAAATTGAAAGGCAATGTTACTATTTTTTTGGTAATGTGCAGTTTGAATGTGAAATGTTCAATTCACAGTGTAGCCTCTGCAATTAGAACATTTAATATTTACGTTGATGTCTTTTTTGTCGGACATTTTCTTTTAAAGCTACAAACTTGTCTGGGACAAAAAACCCAAATCATCTTTTATGTAATGGTTCACTGAGAATCCCCTGTATTTTATCATTTAAATCATTTATTTTTACTTTCTGTGGCTTTAAATGCTTGCTGTTTATTAAAAGGCTTCCTTAATCTATGGCTGTATTTCTGTAAAATGAATCACTGAAATGGAAAGTAGTAAAATATATAGCATTATGGTAAAGGCACATTTAGTAAATTATACCATTCTGCATTCATCTTCGAGAAGTGGTAATGCATTCAGACCAAATGTGACCGGTTTAAATGGTTTTGGATCTCATGAGTACGTCTCATGCAGGCGACTGTGGAAAGAGGACAGTCTTGATAGTGCGTCCTGGAAAGAGTCTGACGAGGCTGCGAAACAGAGTCTGAAATGACGGTGAACAGAGTCGTTAATGAGCGCAAAGTATTGATGATATTGTGGCGTCTTACCGAATATTGAGATGATGTGATCCGTTCTCACTGCCTGCTCCGACACGCACACCCGCTTCATCCCAGAACCTCTGACAGTACAGATCATCAGGCCGCTGCCCTAATGTCTGAACGTGAGACATCTTTAATTAGAAACATGGGTAAAACAATTATATTGTATGTTCCATGAGAGAAAAGATTCACCATGCTAAATTAGAACAAAGTTACATAAAACCTTTTGATTCTCTAGTAGTGCATGTGTCTCCAAACCTTTAATATGAAGGCCACTTTAGTTCACCAGAATAGTCCAGGGGCCGACATCAAGGACTGAAACTATCTTGACTGGCTTCAAATGTTTACCATCTCACTAGCTACATTAGCACCATTAATGGAAGTAAACAAATCAGAAGTAACGACATACTGGGCTTTAGAACAAGGTCTATATTGGCTCAGCTGAAGTTGGATAGATGACATAGTGAACTTGTGTTTATGATCTTAAAGACTACTTTGGGTTAGCATGCAGAGGGCCGCATATGGCCCCTGGGCCTGAGTTTGGACATGCTCTAGTGCATCTTAATATTTAAATATGGACAAAAATATGTAATGCACCACTTTCAACTTTTTTACAAACTGATACGCCTCTGTTTACCCTCGAGGCGCCAGTGTTTAATCTGAAATCTTAAACCGACAAAAAGCGGATCCCTGAAACTTGATGTGACTAAAAAGTATAACAAATCTGTGGCTGTAAAGACAGTCTCTTGGATTCAAGAACTCATTAAGTAAAGTGTTAACATATTTTATCTTTTTTTACCTGTAAAAATATATCGTAAATATGCTCAAATAAAACTATTTAAATGTACTGTTTTCAAGTTAGATTTTCATTTTATATTCATTACTCATTTGACACAGTCTACTGCACAGTTTTGAGAGGCGGAGGAATATTAATCTGTTTTCATGATTTCATGAACCCCATTTACAGACGCTTTGCAGCAGTATTTCGTCATGTATTTTGTACTATACTTCATGGATCATTTTCAGATTTACTTAAACCTTTATCACAGCATTTACACATTCATTGATGATGGATTGCATTCAATGGGTTTAAAGATTGTCAATATGAAGAGAATGGGGCGACAGAGGCTCAAGGTTGTGGATTCGAACCCAACACAAGCCTTTCTCCATCGACTCCCACTGACGTCTGCTGTTGTTGTGTCCTTGGGCAAGACACTTAACCTCTGGAAACACCTGGGGCCACAGTGGGGCGGCTGTAAAGTGCCAAACTGCCGTTGTGTCCTTAGGCAAGACACTTCACCCCCATTGCCTAGAATGAGTCTGGTGTGTGTGTGTGAATGGTTGGTGGTGGTCGGAGGGGCTGATGGCACATACTGGTTGCCTCGCTTCTGTCAGTGTGCCCCAGGGCAGCTGTGGCTACAGTGGAAGTTTATCACCACCGTGTATGGAGTGAAAGAATAATGACATGTAAAGCATCTTTGTGCTTTGTGAGTGTCCAAAAAATGCGTTATATAGAATGAATTATTATAGAATAACATTTAACCATTTTGTACAGAATTGCCAATCTTTCAGCATAAGGTTTTTTTTGTTTAAAAAAAATAAAAGCAATGTTTGACCTTTGCTTCTCTTAAAAATCGAGCCGGTAAATCCAGTTGAGGATACAGGAAGATCCCTCCTCTGGGCAGCTGGCAGGCCACACCTTTGAGACGGTTCAGGGCTTCACATCCGTGCCGAGCGTTGAGGCAAAGAATGTCGTGAATGTTGGAAATCTCCTGGAAAAATGTCACTTGTTTGAGGTCAGTGTCAATCGTTTCTTGCTTTATCTATTTTCTTTACTTTGTTTTATCTATGCACTTGTCTTGTGCACTCTGGGGACTCTAGCAGATGTATTCCAATGTGGTTTTACTGCAAATGGCAAATAAATGAATCAATCTGAGATGTTTGGGAAAGCTGCAGCCTATTACACCATGTGACCTGTCCATCTTCTATTTCTTACTCCCCACAATGCAACACTGATTTTTAACCTGTGAGTATGTTGGACTGGAGGGATCCCCAGGCTTCGGGGGGTTGACCTGGATCTCCAAAGCACACTGTGGTAAAACGGGAGGGCTCCTAAAACCCAGTAAAACCTTCATCCTCTCTGCCACTGATGAGTCTGTGTTGACCAGCTCCATGTAGCCTCCCCTCAGGCCACACCTATGAAGGAGAGGAATGTATGCATTATAGAACAGGCACATTTGAAAAAAAATTCTTAAAAGGGCGTTGCCTGAAGGACCAGGGGTTAGAGTTGGGCGTGGTCTGGGCTGTGATTGACAGCTCACTAGTCACACAAAAAAAACAGTTGTCATTGCTGCTTAAAGCAATAGTTTACAGACCAGAAAGTCTCATTCCACCCTTGTTTACACACTAAGATAATTGTAGAGCTACACACCTGAACCTAAGTCACTGATTTATCTCAGCAGCAGTGATTGTCAACTCATGTAATTTAATTTTAATCCACTAGATGTCGCCAGAATACTCCAACCTGCTACTGGGGCGTGTGTGAGAGTTGGATGGGTTTATATCACTGGCGCAGACAGACGCACGTCACACATACAAACTGACGTCATAGAGTAGTGCAGAGTCAATGGAGAGGCCAGGACCAAATTCAAATGTAGTTCCACCGAAAAGGTTGAGAGGGCGCCACACAGACGTTTTTAGGCTCAAAAGTGAGATTTTATCTAATCTGCACTAAAATGGCAGACTTGTATATTTAAATATGTTACTTTTATCTGTGCTGCACTATAGAAACTTCTTTTATAAAATGTGCAATACAAATAAAGTGGATTGGATTAACATGTAGGAGGATGGGTACTCACTCTGCCTGACTGCCATTTGATAAGGAGTTAAAAGAGATCAACTCCACATGCTCAGAGTATTCTGGGCCCATCTCCCGCAGCACCTTCTTATAGGACAGAAACTCTATCCCGGGTCCAAATATACAGTCTTGGTGAACCTGGATATAAACAATACAAATATGAATCTGTAAAAAATACACAATGGATATTGGGGAGTACCTCTTGCACCAGCAGAAAGAGGCGTTCTGCAGCAGCGAATCGAATCATACTCTCCATCGATGTTCTGTCTTGAACATGTCCTGGCAAAAGTAAAAACACATGGACAGAGAAAGGTCATATTATTTCAGTCCCCAGGGTTTATTTATTTGTTGTTAACCCTCTAGGTGCCATGGTTTCCTTGAGTGTGGTACTGTGTGAGTTCTGTTTGTGTGTTCATGTCCTAGTGATTTGTGTCTGTCAGTAAAAAAAATTGAAAATGTTTCTTGAAAATCCACATAGTGAAGTCATAATATGCAAATGATATGGGTACATTTAATTCCTTAATAAACTTTGGGCCTCCTTATAATTTCTCTAATTCACACAAATCCTCTCACGCTATATGCAAATCAAATCACAAAAACATCAAATCCGAATCCTCGCTCTCAAAACTGTTTGCTTCCATCATAGATTTTACATTTTTATTTTCAGCCTCCGTCACATCTTTTTCCCTCAGCCAATCAGCTCTCAGGCCTAAGTATTAATCTCTTAACATCCATTTATTTTTTTAAATGTTCTGCTGGCAATAGCAGATGTATTTTCAACACCAAACCCCAAAGAAAAAAGAAAAAATGGTGTCAAATGTGCACTACTTGATGAAAAGGAGAAACTGCATAAAAAATATGAAACTTAGAAGTCTGAAACTTTAGACAGTTGTTGTCAACAACACAATGAACAAAGGGTTCATTGTGTTGAACTTACTATTGTGAACTTACAATGAAGTATGCTTTTAGGGCCTTTAGAAATTGAAAATTTTAGGCAAGGCTAAAACAATAGGTTTTTTTCCCCAAACCTCAAAGGATGCAGAATGAAAAAGGAATGAAAAAGATTATTTTAGTGTTTTTTTACATAAACTAGAAGGCTCTAGCTTTAATATGATGCATCACACAAGCATGTGAGATGTAAGATGTGTTTTTAAATAAGCAAAGATATGTCCAACTTTTGTGCACATGCCAAAATGAGGCGGGTGTTAAAAGGTTAACTTGTCTTACTGGTTTGTAAACCATGTTTTCTAATAAGAAGATCCAATATGATATGTTATGACTTGTTCACAACATTCTTTTTTACTTTTACAAGCCTCTCTCTGGTTGGAGAAACAACATGTAAAATGTAGTGGATTTCTCAACTTTAAGTGCGTGTTTAATTAGGGCTGTCTTTATTCATTTGGTCAATTAATCGGTCATGAATGTCCACTAATTATTTGTACTTCAAATCTGAAGAAGACAGTCCTTTATTTGTCCCACAATGGGAAAATTTCAAATGCAGTGTACAATTTCTTCTGCACACTTTATAGGCAAAGTAGGGTTAAGTGTCTTGCCCAAGGACACAACAGCAGCAGACATCAACGGTGGGAGTCGGTGGAGAAGGTCTCGCGGTGGACTCAAACCCACAACCTGCAGGCTCAAAGGCCAATGCTCTACCAACTGAGCCACTGTGGCCCCAATATAAGGATTTTTATGGAAATCTTCAAAAACAAAACTGAGAATTAAAACAAAACTTTAGGATTTTAATGTGATATTCAAGCTACTTACAACTATCAAGTTATTTGTTCATTTTTGTGTTATAATTTTTTTTTTTATATATAACCCAAACAGCTCCTGAATCTATGACACTGTCTATAAGGCTTCCCACATATGCTTCCATATCTTTTTTGTGTAACTTTTTCTCTTATTTCTTTCTGTGATTGGTTTTGGTTTGTCCTCCATCTCTTCTGCAGTTGCATTGCGCCCCCTTGTGGCCGCTTCAAACTGGTGCCGAAAGGGTTCATGGTTAAATATGATCTGGTTTTATTCCTTAATAATTGTTTTTGCTTGAAATTGGGTACAAATTAGGTCAGAAATGTGTGGCTGAATGGATAGCAGGTCCTGGGTTCAAATATCAGTCGGAACAGGACCTTTCTGAGTGGGGTTTGTATGTTCTTCCTGTGTCTGCGTAGGTCAGGGTCTCCTACCACTAAAAACATGTACAATAGGTCTGGCATGGGCTTACTGCACTGGCGACCCCGCTCCCATCTCTTTGTGGAATTCAGTTCTGACATTCAGTCTGAAAAGTTTCTTTTCATAGCAACATTTTTTTATATTTTAAAATGTTTGTAAATGTGTATGATTTCATGTCCGTGTAAAGTACTTCCGCTGCACTGCATGAATTGTGCTTTATAAATAAACTTGATTGATTGGGATACTGGTCTGTGAAAGGCGCTATATAGATAAACATTACTGACTTAAAAATGTCCTTTTGCCATGATCCTTTTACAGTTGACAACCAATGAATTTGTCGTAATAACTATTGTTCTGCCCATTGAAAGCAATAGCCTTGTAAATAGTGCCCCTCTAGGCCGCGAAGTGTCAGTTCTCGGGTGATCTTGATGGCCGCGCATGAGAATTCCAAGATGGCTGAACGCGTCACAGAACAGTGCATCCTAAGTGCATTTTCCTCACAAAAGCATGTTGCCTTTGGACAATATTTGTCTGTAAGTATTGTGTGTGTGAATATGTATTTCTGTGCGTGTTTGGAGCGTAAATTGTATTTTTTCATTAACTTTTGTTTGAGTTAAGAGCAGAGTTGCTTGTTAGCATGTTATTAGCCTGTAATAACGGAGAGCTGGACGTTACCTCGTAGCTAACGCGACATTTGTTTGTATTACAGTTTTACGGTTGGTCTAAGAGGACAATGGTTGAGGCCGTTCTTCAATAAATCAAAGAACAAGAATGAAGTCTGTTTATTGGAGCACCGTTATCTAGCAGTCTAGCCTTGCAAAGACAGTAGATTGGGGCGAGGACAGCAAAACTATAACAAGCAAAGTATGCAGAAAAAGTCCTGATATGAACTCAACAGCAGCTGTACCAGAGGGGATGGCCGGGTTACAGATGTACAGGGCTCTCATGTCACAGTGTCCTCTGGCTTCAGTCACGACTCGCTTTAGTTCTTCCATGTCCCAATCCTGGTCCGGCTCCGGCCTGTACTGCACCAGACGCAGCCCGGTGTACTCCAGGAGGCCCGGGAGCGTGTGGGGGTACAGCCCTGGGACCAACAAGCCACTCTGGAGCTGCAGACTCCCACTGGACAGCAACTTGAAAACCAGCTAGAGAAAGATGGCAGTATTTTTGTAATACATGTTTTAGAGGAAGGAAATCTTTGGGGATTGGCACAGTAGGTTGTAAGCTTCCAGATGAATGTTTATTTTTTCTGTTCCATTTAGTAATTTAGACAACATAAGAACTAGAACTAGAACAGAAATATAAAAAAAACTTACAATGATGTCTAATTACTAGATAATTACATTGTTAACCGTTATCTTACAATGACTGATTATTTTACATATGGAGTAAAGACTTTTGTGGAGTTGTACTTCAGGATAGATTTCACAAACAGAGATCCTTAATCTTTTGGCACATCAGTATTATATTATTATAAGTATCAGGACACAGGAGGCACGGGTCCTGTGTGAGCCTGGCCACCGCAATGACCATAATCCACTAAAGCAGCAACTTGCTCCAAGTCTGTCTGGTTCTTGCTCTGGACAAGATGGATTTTCTTGCATATTCTTTTGAAAGTCCTTATACTTAAAGAAATGATATACAAGCTATCCTGAAGTACACTGACAGAAATGAAATTAATAAATAAAGTTGTCTTTGCTATGTATAAATCTAAACACTTTTCGAGTACCTGCAATATTTATAATTTCATATTATGTAAATGTAACTCAGGGTTATTTATGCACAAATTTGATATTCTACTTTTGTTTCTTGTACACTTAATTGCTCGAAATAAACATGGCTTATTATTATTATCTATGTGCAGAGGTTGAAACAGAGAAATGCTATCAAGTACAGTTTGTGATCCTGCATTAAAACTGCTCTGAGCGGTTTCATCTTCACTTATTACCTTCAAATTCTCTTGTGTTCCGCTGTTGAAAATGATGTTGTTGGGATCAGCTGCGACGCCCCCGTCCCGCCGACAAATGAACTCTGCGATCTGCTTCAACACATTCGGCATCCCGACCGCACTGGAGGAGTACACACCTGCATACAAGACACAAACTCATGGTAAAAGAGCAAAAGCAGTGACACAAGACATGGCACTTGTCTCACCCACACTTCCTTTTGGGCAGAAGTCCAAGAACTGCTGCGCTCTTTGTCGAACGTCCAGAGGAAGGTTTTCATCCTGAAGCAGGTCTGGGTACAAACAAACTGCCAAGACCTGCCACATAAGATATTCCACCTCAACAATAACTTTAAAGTAGTTGTTTAAACATGCCCCTGGCTTTCAAACCAGTTTTCTCCTTTTAATTTCATTCAAAGCCTTGTTTTGCCACAGCTCTTTCAGTTTGGGATGCCACTCGTGCCCAGCCAATCAGCTCGCAAGTAAAGGTCTTTACAGATTTGGAAAAAATTATAAAGTATTATGCAACAAGGTCTCATTAGGAACTATCTTAAATATCATAATTACACATTATTAACCAAGCATCACCTCCATTGCTCTTGAAGTTGTTGCTTCTGGTTTTCATTATGATGGTGTATGTTCACTATGATCACAATTACAGTATTATCTGGACTATAAGCCGCGCCTGATTGTTATTATTATTTTTGTATCATTTATTTTCCCAATTTTCTTGAAAAGGGACCTAATCTTATTTTGTTGGCATATTGTGGTAAACTAATTTTGACAGATAGTTTCACCTTTAGCGGTTTCTATCAATAATTATCATGCAAAAAGATATTCGCGGATAAATTGACGTGCACATAGGTGTCATTGGGCTTTGTTGATATGCATTTGTAAGCCATAACGTTGTATGCGGACATTTTAAACAGATATTTGTCATTCAGTGATGGACAATACAAGTCAAGGGCTTTTATTTATGAGTCCTCGCGTACTTGTTATGACAGTAATTATGATTTTGAGGACTCTGACTCGGTTCAGATGAGGAGCAATCTGCAAGAAATTGACATTTGCGGACATTAGGGCCGTTTCCACGGGCTGGAGTCATGTCATGGTCCGACCGGGTCCGACCCGTCTCGACCCGGTTTGCGAATGCGGTCAGTTTGAGCTCGATGGTGGACCCGAGTGAGTGTGAAGGAAGCGCTAGCAAGGAAGGAATGGATATCATGGACATCGTAGTGCAGAGAAAAGTTAAGAAGCGTAAAAGTGACTACCGTGAAATGAAAGATCCCAGCCGTAAAAGTGGACAGAACTGAAACGTCTGGAGGTGGTTTGACTAGATGGATTAACGCTATTTTTACGGACATCAACTAACAAGCAAACATCAGCTAACACCAGCTAACACGTCAATACCCGCAACACCAAGAGAGAAGCCTCAACTCTATGTCGCAGCTCCAGATGTTGAGTTTGAGAGAAATGGTGAGTGTCTTCAATCAAATGCAAACATGTGTTATGGTCTTATTCTGAACGTGTGTCTGTGGTTCTAAAGTCTTATACTGAACGTGTGTCTGTGGTTCTAAAGTCTTATACTGAACGTGTGTCTGTGGTTCTAAAGTCTTATACTGAACGTGTGTCTGTGGTTCTAAAGTCTTATACTGAACGTGTGTCTGTGGTTCTAAAGTCTTATACTGAACGTGTGTCTGTGGTTCTAAAGTCTTATACTGAACGTGTGTCTGTGGTTCTAAAGTCTTATACTGAACGTGTGTCTGTGGTTCTAAAGTCTTATACTGAACGTGTGTCTGTGGTTCTAAAGTCTTATACTGAACGTGTGTCTGTGGTTCTAAAGTCTTATACTGAACGTGTGTCTGTGGTTCTAAAGTCTTATACTGAACGTGTGTCTGTGGTTCTAAAGTCTTATTCTGAACGTGTGTCTGTGGTTCTAAAGTCTTATACTGAACGTGTGTCTGTGGTTCTAAAGTCTTATACTGAACGTGTGTCTGTGGTTCTAAAGTCTTATACTGAACGTGTGTCTGTGGTTCTAAAGTCTTATACTGAACATGTGTCTGTGGTTCTAAAGTCTGATGAACGTGTGTCTGTGGTTCTAAAGTCTTATACTGAACGTGTGTCTGTGGTTCTAAAGTCTTATACTGAACGTGTGTCTGTGGTTCTAAAGTCTTATACTGAACGTGTGTCTGTGGTTCTAAAGTCTTATACTGAACGTGTGTCTGTGGTTCTAAAGTCTTATACTGAACGTGTGTCTGTGGTTCTAAAGTCTGATGAACGTGTGTCTGTGGTTCTAAAGTCTTATACTGAATGTGTGTCTGTGGTTCTAAAGTCTTATACTGAACGTGTGTCTGTGGTTCTAAAGTCTTATACTGAACGTGTGTCTGTGGTTCTAAAGTCTTATACTGAATGTGTGTCTGTGGTTCTAAAGTCTTATACTGAACGTGTGTCTGTGGTTCTAAAGTCTGATGAACGTGTGTCTGTGGTTCTAAAGTCTGATGAACGTGTGTCTGTGGTTCTAAAGTCTTATACTGAACGTGTGTCTGTGGTTCTAAAGTCTTATACTGAACGTGTGTCTGTGGTTCTAAAGTCTTATACTGAACGTGTGTCTGTGGTTCTAAAGTCTTATACTGAACGTGTGTCTGTGGTTCTAAAGTCTTATACTGAACGTGTGTCTGTGGTTCTAAAGTCTTATACTGAACGTGTGTCTGTGGTTCTAAAGTCTTATACTGAACGTGTGTCTGTGGTTCTAAAGTCTTATACTGAACGTGTGTTTGTGGTTCTAAAGTCTTATACTAAACGTGTGTCTGTGGTTCTAAAGTCTTATACTGAATGTGTGTCTGTGGTTCTAAAGTGTAAAACATGTGTCATATCTTTTACTAAACATAGTTAGAGTGAAACATGGATTCATGGTTCAGTGTCAGTTGTTGTATTTTCTGCTGAATACTGGGTTGAAACTCGTAAAATTGGTTTTAGTCGGAGCTTGATAGAACTAATTTCATGGAACTCGCGCTGGTGTCTTCTCTCAGTTTGTTTGGACCGTCGCCTTCTCTGAATAAGTCTTGAGTGTCTGAAGTGTTATTGCAAGAGCACCACACTGAGGGCGAGGGTCAGGACAGAAGAGAGCTATACCCGAAGGAAACGTTTTTCTTTGGCCCTGCAGAGAGACACTCCCCCAGCGCCCCTCGAGCACGGTCCGGGGCTTATATGACACAGCGGAGAATACAAAATGCGTGTCACAGGAAGACGTAATGTGACGCACAATATCATGTCCCCACCACAACTCACCCCCCACTCCCCACCACCCGCCCCACTGACCCCCCTCATCTGCGCTGGGAAGCCGGCCCTGGCCGCAGTTTTTAACCGCGTGCAGGCGCGAATGCCGCGGTCAGATGGCACCTAAAGCCTGGATCTAATTGCAAAGTGGGCCCTGGCACACTTTAACCGGGCTTTAGGCTGCACATGTGACCACAGCCAAAGATACACCCATTTTAAGGTTTATTTGTGTCAAAGCTTCAGCAGAAGCAATGCTATAAACAGTAAAGCGGGAGCTGCGACCCCTACGTCATCATTTTTCTGGCCAATCAGAGATGTTGATATTAAAAAGTTATTTTACTGATTTATTACTTATCTATAACACAAAAACACATTGCAAAGGTGGGAAATACATGTTTTTAATGTGTTTTATCAGATAAAAAATAATTTTTAATAACGTTAGTGCCCTTTTAACACATTACTGAAAGGGGAGAATAAATAAATAAACAATAATAATAATAATAAAATAAATACTCAATATTCATCTGTCTACATGTCTCATTTTATTATATAGAGATAGTTTGGTTTGCACCTGATCATAAGCAGCAAGCAATTTTGTCTTCGTACAAGCCGCGCTGGATTATAAGCCGCATCTAACCCAAATTTAAATATTCAAAAATATTGCTCAAAAACATTCATCAGTTCTTTTTTTAACTGAGTATTAAGAGTAAGAGTCACTGAATGTTTTTAATCTTCAGTGTGAAACAGAAAGGTAAGAAGCAACATCTTCTGGTATCTTTTTACTTCCATGTTTGTACAAAGAACCAACTGTTTCTTATATGAGATATTTACACAACAATATCATAAGGGAGGACTTGTACTAAAATGTATTTAATCTGCTTGATTGACAAATGTAAATGGTTTTTGTGAACAACTCATCAATTCTTTTGGTCGACTGTCACAGAAAAAAATAAAATGAAGCCGCACCTTACTATGAACAGCAGCATTCAAAATTCAAGGAAAAAGCAGCGGCTTATAGTCCGTAATCAATGAAGGTTATTCAAGGATCATGAGCATTAACTCTGGATTATTTCCTGTATGAATTAGCATTAACGCATGTGAATCCATGAATGAACGTGGAGTTATAGTAAAGTGTTAGCGAAGGTTCGGATGCAAACCTGTCTGAGGAAAGAGACCGGGGCGATGCCGGCGCTGTGCGGGTCTCCAGAGGCCAAGTCTATCCTGGTCTGCAAACAAACACACAGCTCATGCAAGTATTTCACAGAACAAAATGCTTTTCTTTCATTGTATTTAACAGTTTTTAAGAGTTTTGCAGTACATATTACACATACACATATTAATACTGTACAAATATACCAATCATGTTATAAGGGAAACGATGATACAGTAGCAACAAAACAGATCAAAATTGCAACTGAATTTAACATCACATACTGCCCCCAAATTATTTTTCTAAACTATTATAATAGTTTTGTGGATGGACCAAACTGAAAATAAATAGCAGATATGGTCAAATTCAGAATGACCCGAGGCAAACAAGTGTCTTTCATTAAGTAATGAAATACATACAGTACATCCGGAAAGTATTCACAGCGCTTCAATTTTTTCACATTTTGTTATGTTACAGCCTTTTTCCAAAATGGATTCAATTAATTTTTTTCCTCAAAATTCTACACAAAAAGGTTTTTTTGAGATTCTTGCAAATTTATTAAAAATAAAAAGACTAAGAAACCACATGTACATAAGTATTCACAGCCTTTGCCGTGAAGCTCAAAATTGAGCTCAGGTGCATCCTGTTTCCACGGATCTGCTTCATTGGAGTCCACCTGTGGTAAATTCACTTGATTGGACTTGATTTGGAAAGGCACACACCTGTATATATAAGGTCCCCATCCCTACAGTGAAGCATGGTTGGTTGCACTGAAATGGATCGAGCATTCAAACACCAGGCAGGTAGTAGTGTGTTCTGACTCTGCATCTGTTCTTTCGAGCATACAAACGTTTTGTTCAAAAACAAGGCAGGGTATGTAGTGATGGCAATATGAAGCCCCATGAAGCCTTGAGGGATCGCAGCCTATTACTCGGCCCATGAGTCGAAGGCTCGAGGTGAATCATGCTCCACTACGCCATCATGTGGACAAAGAAATACATAACACTCTTACGTGCTTACAATGCATGGTGAGATCTAATGTTAAAATGTATACTTACAATCTATGGTCTAACGTGTTGTGTTTGAAATGATGCTTCATGAACTATGAACTATTTGAGTCTTTCAGTCAATTGTGTTGATACAACAAACACATCCAAAGTAATACAGTTCTACAGAAAGTGATTAATGGAGGAAAAACTACCAAGAGGTGGATTAATTAAACACAACAAACCATTTATTCCCAATAAATAAATACATTTACTTTGCAACACAAAATGTATTATGGGTAGACCAGGATTCGAACGCTACATCTTCTGCTTCGGAGTCCGTCATAGACCAACTGCGCCACACAGCTGTTGTGAAACGTATTATCCAGCGTATTATTACTAATAACTTGAAGCCTTGATATATGAGGTTTTACTAAAGTGAAACGTTTTTAATTGTATTTCATATGAAGTAGTTTCTCTATACTTAGTACAGGACTGCTCCACATCACGCACACACACGTACGCACACAGAGGCAGACGGGGACAGCCAATACAGTCTATGGTACAGCCGCGGATCACAAAGCACCTGTCAAAGCAATGCACTTATTAGTATTAGATAGCAATATGGCCTACGTGCAGGACTGTACAAGGACTCTACAAGGACTCCATGTTATGACTATGATTTGACTGTCTCTTTGTGACACGTATGTCTTTCGATGTGTGACGTGACAATGACTATATAAACTGTGTACTGCCTTTATTCTGTCTGAGAGAAAGAAACAGAGTAAACCAGTGGAACTTGAGAGAAACTTAAATAAACTTCCAGAGTTTGGCACACCACGATCCGTCTCTGTCTGCTAAATCCTAACACACTCTCCGAACTATTGAGAATGAGGAGTCACGTGCCGAGTTGGGGTGATTTGGGGGGGGCTCTGAGCCTGTCGGACATATTGGCTGCGCAACGGGGGCACGCCCCCAGAATTTCACGCGCTCCTCATATTCCAGAGCACTTTAAATTATACGCATTTACGTTTTCGGCGAGACAGAGACGGATCTACTGATACAACAAGGGAAAGGAAGACAGTAAAACAATGCTTAGAGATAAGGCGAAAGAGAAGGGACCGTACAGGAACAAGCTCATACCAAGCGCAAAACAGAGGTATTTGGAGAAGCTTGCGGACATCAAAAACATCGACCCATACGAGCTCCCTGCAGCGGAATGGCACAGAAACCTGGACCATTTACCTCCGTGCACATACATGGACATAGTAAACTACCTTGTATTTGGTGTAAGTTACTACACGATGCAGGAGTTTAAAAGCCACAAGTCTTTGGAAAGTTACGAGACTTTCTGCTGTGGCTGGGTGCAGGACTTGGTCATCTACAAGCCTCCAGCTGGTGACAACAGCGTTGTACTGGCAAAAGTAAGTTTCTTCACATATGCCTTTTAGTGTGTTGTAATTACATTGCATTTAGCAGACACTTCTTGACCAAAATGACAAACTAATTAATGAGGTAGGCTTAGGCTGTGTTTGTTGAGGTATTTAGTTGTAATTTGCGTTTGTTTGGGGCTGCAAAGTGGACAAACCAGTTCTACTTAAAAGTGGGCAAGGGTAAATGTGAATGCAAAATGTAAATGGCCTGGTTAGATGTAAGCCATTCACAGTGTGAATGCAAGGTGTATGAGATGGTAATGTAGAGTGCAGACTGTTAGTTTAAATAATAATGGCCAGTCTCTGTGTTGAATGCTTTTTACTGTTTCCCTAATTTCTTAACCTTTGTGTATTTAACAGGTCCTGCATTCACGGCGCCTTAGTGAGCCTCCTCTTACTCCATGGATAATCTTAACACCATCGGGGCAAGTGTGTTCGGCCCACTGCACCTGTATGGCCGGTGTAGCAGAGTCGTGCACCCACGTTGGAGCCCTGCTCTTCATGGTCGATGCCTGTGTCCGGCTAAAGGAGAAGGCCACGGTCACAGATGAGCCGGCGTACTGGAAGCTCCCAAGCAGCATCAACAAGGTGCAACCTGAGGTTGGTCACCAGGTCAACTTCATATCTGCAGCAGCCACACGCAGATCTCTGGACAGACAAATTGATGGTGACACCGACAATAGTCCAGTGCAGAGAACACGAATGGCCAAAACAGCACCACCACCATCACCGACACAAGACAAGCTGGCAATTTTCTACCGGCAAATCAGCATGACAGGCACAGGATCTGCCATTTTGACAGTGCTCCCTGACTACTGTGAGCAGTTCAAGGATCCTGTTCTTCCCATTCGGAGCCTACAGTCTCTGGTAAATGGAACTGGCCTTAATCGGGGTGACCTACCTGCGCTGCAACGGCACTGTCAGAACATAAAGACTGTAGCTGATGTGTCTGAGGAACAGGCAGTGCAGATGGAGAGACGGACAAGGGGACAGCACACGTCATCCCTTTGGTTTGCTGCACGGGCAGGGAGAGTCACGGCCTCCTCGATGCATAGCGTGTATGGAACAGACCTCAGTTCTCCAGCACTGTCCATCGTTAGGAGGGTGTGTTATCCAGCTCGTGGGCCAGGAACAGCTGCCACCAGTTGGGGAATTAGACAAGAGGACACGGCGAGGCAGGCATACAGTGTCCAAACTGCCCCCCTGCACACCAATCACCAAGTGCTAACCTGTGGCTTTTTTGTCAACCCGGCCTTCCCACAGGTAGGAGCCTCACCAGATGCCATCGTGAGCTGCATCTGTTGTGGGAAAGGCTGCTTGGAGGTAAAATGCCCAGCTAAATACAAGAACTGCACTATCCTCCAAGCCTGCTCCTCGGATGACCGCAACTTCTGGCTTGCATGTTGTTGATGGTCAGGTGCACCTTAAAAAGAGTCACCCGTATTACACCCAAGTCCAGACACAACTGTTTGTGACAGAGAGGTCCTACTGCGACTTTGTTGTGTGGACCTTGATGGACACAGTGACTCTGCGCATAGCTCCAGACCGTGCTTTTTGGAAGGCACGACTCCAGAAGGCACAGGACTTCTTTGTGATGGTGGCTCTCCCTGAACTTGCGGTGCAATACCACACTATCCCCACCTGTCAACCATCACCTGGTCACAGTGTGCTACGTGAACTACAGCAGCCACAGCCACAACAAGTAGGTGGGAAGAGGCCGCGAAGGCAGCCAGCCAAAAAAGCCAAGGAAGTGTGGTGTCTCTGTTCTGGACCAGAGGAGGGTGACATGGTGGCCTGTGACAACCAGAACTGCCCAGTCCAGTGGTTTCACTTCAGTTGTGTGGGGCTTGTTAATAAACCCTCTGGTGACACGCCAGGGTTTTGCCCTTGTTGTGCAGAATAGGTTTTTCCTATTTCTTAAAATTGTATTATTGTTATTGCTGTGTGCCTTTGCAGTGTTTTTTTGTACATTTGCACTAATAACAGTCTTATTTGTTATTATTATTTATGTTATAATTTATTTTATTATGTTGTGCATGTTTACATGCTGGAAACAGTACTTTGAATGCACACGTTGTTTTGCAGTGTTTTGTGTCCCTTTGCACTAAGAAAAGTATGACTCTTATGATCATTTTTGCCTATGCTGTGCATGTTTACATGCTGGAAACAGTACTTTGAATGCACACGTTGTTTAGCAGTGTTTTGTGTCCCTTTGCACTAAGAAAAGTATGACTCTTATTTTCATTTTTACCTATGTTGGGCATGTTTACATGCTGGAAACAGTACTTTGACTGCACACGTTTGTAACAAAAAAAATATTCATTTCTCAATAAATATTGGTAAACCATATCAAGTTGTTTCATGCATTTATTTAAAAATAAAAGATACAGTAAAGAATAAGGTACTCAAACAACACTTTTGCACATGTTCGTTAAGGCACAGCAAACAATGACAATCTTATCCAAAGGCATTAGGTTTTCACCCTCACATTTGACAAGCATGTGCACAGGTACAGTTGAGTGTAAGAATTTGAATTTGTTGCGCACAACACCGATCACCCTCTCCACGTGAATTCTGAGATGTGCTATGGCCCTAGTCTCCTCCACATCTTTCGCCTCAAGCTGAGCACGACCCCTGGTGAATGTAGGTATTTTCACTTCAGCACACATCATGCCCACATGTTCTCTTATATTAAAGCCTCTATCTGCCAGCACAATGTCACCTGGTAACAGCTTGTTCAGGAAACCACTTTGCTCGGTTATATGCTTGTCGCTTGTGCGCCCACCCCACCCGTTCGATATGAAGGAAATTACACCCTGGGGCGTGATCACGATTAGGTATTTCATAGTGTATGCGTGTTTGTATTGAGAAAAAGTCTGTGCCCTTGCTAGTACATTGGAAGGTTTCTCGATGAACACCTCGAAGCAATCCACAATGGCAGCCACATTGTTCCCAAATGACTCCACAAACTGGTGTGGCATACTGGTCAATAAGCATTCCCTACTTGGCCAGTGCACCAATGGACACAGCTGTGCGTACATCACACCAAGGGTATGGTGAAAGGCATCGGCGACTGTTGTCCTATGTACTCTAAACAGATGGCTGAGGTGCTGTATTGGAAGGTCCAGTCTGAGGCGCATTAAAGTCAATAGGACAAGCTGGAAGGGTGAGAGCTTCTTCATTCTACCTTGAGGCAGATCTGGAGTTAGGTAGAGTAGAAGTGTCTGGAACAATGCAAAGTTTGGAAGCCCCGTGTAATACTTCACTGTGTTATCATCACCACTCAGAAAGTTCTCATTCATCCGGTACGTATCAAGCTCACGCTTCAGCTGTCTGTTTTCTTCAAGAAGATTGTTGATAACATCTCGTCTAGATGTGCAGAGTCCACATTCCATGTCCGGGTCAGCTGGCGGCTGGTCTAGGGCTGGCGGCGGCGGCGCCTGCGGCTGGTCTAGGGCTGGCGGCGGCGGCGCCTGCGGCTGGTCTAGGGCTGGTGGCGGCGGCGCCTGCGGCTGGTCTAGGGCTGGCGGCGGCGGCGCCTGCGGCTGGTCTAGGGCTGGTGGCGGCGGCGCCTGCGGCTGGTCTAGGGCTGGCGGCGGCGGCGCCTGGGCTGGTCTAGGGCTGGCGCGGCGGCGCCTGCGGCTGGTCTAGGGCTGGTGGCGGCGGCGCGGGGTCTGGGCTGGGGCGGCGGCGCCTGCGGGTTAGGGCTGGTGGCGGCGGCGCCTGCGCTGTCTAGGGCTGGGGCGGCGCCTGCGGCTGGTGGCGGCGGCGCCTGCGGCTGGTCTAGGGCTGGTGGCGGCTGCAGCTGGTCTAGGGCTGGAGGCGGCGGCGCCTGCGGCTGGTGTTGGGCTGGAGGTGGCTGCCGCTCCAGTGGCAGGGACCTGCGCCTTACTTGCCGCTGATATCTCGCTTCATCTGTTTTTTGTACATCATTGTGGCCTAACAACAGGGATGGTGTCCAGTCAGGGTGGTTCTCCAACATCTCATATGCTGGTTTACCTACACGAGAATAATAACAACATATAATTAATATAATAATTTGCACAATCTATGTAATCAATGCTTTAAACTGGCAACTATGTCATGAACAGCATCTCAAGTACTTTTTAGGTCACCTCATAATGTCATATGAAGGTTTTGTACAACAGAATAATTAGATTATGTGTACAATCTATGTAATCTATGCTTTACACTGGCAAAGACCTCGCAGAACACGTGCTAAGTAAGAAACAGCCTGAGAGGGTAACAAAGACACAGAGACAAAGGCACTACAGAAACCATAATAACATATGCTAACCTACACTTCCTAGCTTTAAGAGACAACTACATAAATACATTTTTAGAGAACGTACCAGAGTGAAAATGCAGAGAACACACTCTCGTCGACAGGGGTGTGTGATCGAAAGTAAGGTCCTTTCTTCTAATTGCAGCCAACCAAGCAATCCGACGTCTCCTTGTCAGGTCAGAGAATTGCTCCCCTTGATGCTTTTTCCATTTCGGTAACCTAAAAAACTGTATCCCGTTGTTACTAGGTTTTCCATATCCATCGTGGGAGGTATTGGAGCAGTTTTTAACGCAGCAGTTATTTCCAGGCATGATAAAACAGTGCGGAATAGCAAGAACCTCCGCTACTACCGCGTTCACAACACACGTAAACAAACTGTACTGCCGCCACCGGTGCGCAGCCAATATGTCGGCAAAGGGGGGATGGGGAGGGGGGACTCTGTGCCGTGACGTCAACTCCTCATTCTCAATATGACGCATATGAACCGTCACGTGGTGCGGCCGCTACGCGAGGCTTCGAACGTCACCACATACGTCACCAACACACGCCTCGAACCACGCTTCAAAAAATACGCCCCTTTTTTACTCGGTACACGCTTCGAAGACCCGGCACGCTCAGCACATCACTAAGGGTATGTTGTATGATATTTTGATGACTGTATACAGACTAAGTTGTAGGGGTAATAATGTCCAATTTCTTTGGGTGCCAGCTCATGTAGGTATCAGTGGAAATGAAAAAGTTGACAGATTGGCAAAAGGAGCGTTGAATAAAAATAAGATTGAAATGGAAATTAAAAGCAGCAAATCTGAAGCAAAAAGTGTTGTTTGGCGACAAGTTGTTAAGGAGTGGCAGAAGCGGTGGGATTCTGGAAAGGCAGGCACCTATATCAGATTAATAAGGTAGTGACTGGGCTTGGAGTGCACAGGGGAAATAGGAGAGAAGAAGTTGTGATCACCAGGCTTAGAGTGGGTCATTGCTCACTAAATAAAACATTACAGATGATAGGTAAACATGAGACAGGGCTTTGTGAATCATTTCAGGAGGAGGAGGAGTCTGTAGAGCATGTAATCCTGCGGTGTAAGGGTTATGATGTGGAGAGAGAAGTTTTGAAGAGTAGAATGATGGAACTGAGAAATAGGGAGTTCACTCTGCAGAATGTTCTGGAGTGTAGTAGGGCACAGATTAGAGATCTGGTGGGGTTTCTGAAGGGTATAGGAGTTTTTGATAGAGTATAAGACAAAGGTCTACTGTATGTTGCTTTATTTCTGTATTATTATTATTATTATTATTATTTATTTATTTTTGTATACATGATTTAGCCTGTGAGTTCACTGTTTGACCCATACTCCAGAACAGTAGGAGGCGGTAATGCTCCTTTAGCTGGTTGCAAACCGTCGTTAAACAACAAAAAGAAGAAGAAGAAGTGAAGCATGGTGGTAGCATCATGCAGTGGGGATGTTTTTCAGCGGCAGAAACTGGGAGACTAGTCAAGATAGAGGGAAAGATGAATCCGGGATGAAAATCTGCTCCAGAGCGCTCCTGACCTCAGACTGGAGCGACGGTTCATCTTTCAGCAGGACAACAACCCTATGCACACAACCAAGATAACAAAAGAAGTGGCTTCAGGACAACTCTATGTCCTTCAGTGGCCCAGCCAGAGCCCAGACTTGAATCCAATTGAACATCTCTGGAGAGATCTGACAATGGCTGTGCACCGACACTCCCCATCCAACTTGATGGAGCTTGAGAGGTGCTGCAAAGAGGAATGGGCTAAAACTGCCCAAATACAGGTGTGCGAAGCTTGTGGCATCATATTCAAAAAGACTTGAGGCTGTAATCGCTGCCAAAGATGCATCAACAAAGTATTAAGCAAAGTCTGTGAATACTTATGTACATGGTGTTTCTTAGTTTTTTTTTATTTTTATAAATTTGTAAGAATCTCAAAAAAAAGTTTTTCATGTTGTCATTATGGAGTGTTGTGTGTAGAATTGTGAGGAAAAAAAATAATTGAACAAATTTTGAAATAAGGCTGTAACATAACAACATGTGGAAAAAGCTGTGAATACTTTCCGGATGCACTGTATATGATAATTGCATGAAGTGAATCCAAGTTGTTGTGAAGAGCTCAGCCAGACTTCCGAGGAGGCCCGCTAAACTCTTCTGCCCAGAACAATGCCCCAGTCTCCAGTTTTCCCAGACTCTGGAAAGGTTGTCTAAAGGATATCTAAAGTTATCTAATGTAAGTTATCTAATTTATGAGCCTGCTCCATACACCTGGTTTCTTATCAGTGGAATGGCACCAGTGTCTCCGTGTTGAGTTTCAGTTGAGTATTACTACCAATTCTTATGTTATTAATATAATTAATAGTCATTTTACACTACACAGAGCACAGAAGCAAACACACACAGAGCAGCAGGAAAAACACCAACAGAGCAGCCTGGCCCTGGTGGGAGGGGGAAAGTAGAAATTCAATGCAGACTGAGCACAAAAGGGGGCGTAAATTATATGTCGGTACTTCTTTGCAGGTCACATCACACTTTCACATTACAAACACAAATGTATAGTTTTGTTCCCATGAAAGGGAGGGGAAGAATTCAACTTTACTCTACCCTTTTAAATAGACGTGAACTCTCACACTCTTGCTTTTCATGAAAACAAGATAAATGCATTTTTTGTAATGTTTTTTTTTTATTGTGTTTAATTAGCTTTAAACATATTTGGGCTGCATTTTAGTTAGAGACGACCTAAACTTATGCACAGTTTGTTGGTCTGTTTGTTACTCACCTGAGCTGCAGGTGTTGTGCGTCCTGCCATGTCCAAGACTGAACTCGTCTGAAAATGTAGACAAGCACTTTCTCACCACGTGCAGGAGCAGGAAATGCTCCAGGCCAAAACAGGTCCATTATATATTTATTAACCCTTCACAGGAACGGAGTTTTTTTTAAAACAAGGATAGATCAAGATTGTTGATAAAGACAAAGCTGAACTGGGGAAAAAATAGGTATTTTTGCTTTGACTTCACAACTAAGGTTTTTTATTTTTCTAAACAATATAATTATTCCATATTTTGAACCAGTTTCATTTTTGATTATTGAGAGAATAGGTCTTTATTCGGACTGTTGTGGAATTTCTGCACAGACCGATGTAAACAACCAAGAGCTGTAATACAGTCAAAGTGTGAGTTTATTCATTAGTGAATGTGCACATATACACAATGAATAACAGAACCAATACCAATACCACCGGGCAGCCGTCTGACCCGAATGAGGAAATGACGGACATTAAATAGAGTGGAGTAAAACAAAGACATATCTACTCTAGATATTACACAAATGAAGTCAGTATTGATATGTGTCGCTCAAGGCTCCTCTGTACGCTTCCTTACACTGATACAACTCTGATACTGATAATAATCTGCTTTGACCTGAACATATTGTTCTTGTTGCAGCACGTCTCATACATAGACTGTATATATTAACGGACAGAGTCACGCCTATCTCCGCCGTTCTAACTAATGGGCCAAAAAATTTGCTCTACTGGAGCAATCCAAAATGGCAGCAAGTGGTCCCGCCCACAAGAAAATTGTGAAAAAACGCATCTGCGCATGCGTCAGCTGGTGCAGCTCCATTTATTTGAACGAGAGACTTCAAAAATTCACAGCAAGTAAAACTAGATGGTCCAAAAAAATTCACCCCCCTCAGCATTGACACACATGTGGAACGGAGCTTTGGGTCAAGAGCCAACTTTTGGTCCATCCTGTAAAGACGTTTTCGAGAGGTCTGCCAATGCTATATGTTAGCATAATAATTAATTCTTCTTCTGGGTCCACCCCCATCGGCCCGGGGTGGTATTGCAAGCATGTCAGCGCACGTCATTTTGGCCACTTTTGAGCTGGGACCCTCCCTCACTGGTCTCATATCTATCAGCTGACCTGCTGCCAACAGCAATGTGCTGTATCTGAATCCAGAGTTGAGAATTAGTTAATAAATTACCCTTATAACTATTTGGTTTGGATCACCTTTTTCAGAGAAATAAGTGACAAAAAGAGCCCCACTCTCACTCAGCGATGTATCTGCCCGCCATGTCAAATAGTGACTCACAGGGCTCTTTCTTACAACAAAGCAAAAGTTAACACGTATTTAAACAAAATGACAACAACATGAAAAGTTTATGAACAAATCAGACACACTGTCGTAATTGTATGTAGTACTTGCAGTATTCGCAGCTCTACAAGTTTTACTTTTTCCTGTCAAAAAAAATCTTTCTGTTGGGACCAAAATCACTTATTTTTTCTCTGCTATTGATGAAACGGCAGAAACATTTTACCCCACTCTAACAACTCGGTGTGGAAAAAGAAGCTCTTTAATTTCTGTGGGTAACAATTTTGATAAAAATTTCAAATCAGTTTTCAAAAAACCTTGACTGTTATAGACCAGGGGCCGCACACGCTGCAGGAATCTTACGCCCTCCCCGTTTACTGATATGTTTCTACAAAATACCGTTACATTCACTTTTTCTATGTATTTAAAACAATGTCATTTATTTCTGCAATAATAAAGAACTGTGTACACAGATTTATTCAGTGCTACAATCTGTGTTTTCTAGCCGTCTCCCGTTCAAGTAATCAGACTCCACATTCTGCTTTGAGATTAGGTATTGACACGGAATTGGCCAAACAGTAATAAACATCATGCATTGCTAAGTTAACGAATTAATTTTGAATGTTGAGCATTCCATATATTTTGCCTTTATTCATGCTTCTTTGAACTGAAATTGTGAGAACAATAAATCATTTGGTTTTATAATGTGGTTAGCTTGAGGAGACGGGGTCTGACTCCAAAAGGCTTTGGTGGAACTTCTGGATTCTGCTGAGAGCTTCATCCAGGACGTCTGAAGGAATCAGGATGCAGAGTCTGCCACAACAAGAACATGTTAAAAAGTCCTGTCGATGACGCCCGCTCCATTCTCAGCCAGAGACATCAGACATCAAAGCACTTGAACCTGAAGTGGTAGGTCCCAGTCGGAGGACCATGTGAGCAGCTTGGTCCGACCAGCACGGCCTGTTCAGTCAGCAGCTGTGCACAGTACACAGCACCTGCCTCCACTCTCTTATCCTGTAAACACCACAGTCATATGTTCTGTGCACTGGATTAAGGCATTACATTTTCTAAAGGCTATTTTTTTGTCTTTGAACCGTTTGATTCTCTGATCTGTGTTGGCGAATTCAACGGATGTGTAAAGTCCTCGGAGATAACTACTGTTGTGATTTAGGGCGATACAAGAATACATTTAATAAGAATCAGAATCATTTTTATTGCTGTGTGAGTAACAGGAAGTCACAAACTAGGACATTTATTTTGCTCTCGGTGTAAACAAGTTCAATCAGAATAAAAACAAAGGCATGCATAAATAAAAATCTACATTGAATTGAATTAAATCTACGTGGGGCGACAGTGGCTCGGTTGGTAGAACATTGGTCTTTGGGCCTAATGGTCATGGGTTTGATTACCCATTGACACTTGTCACCTGCCCCCACTGAAGTCTGAAGTCTGAAGTCTGCTGTCGTAGTGTCCCTGGGCAAGACACTTAACCCCACTTTACCAGAAGCCCCCACTGAAAGACCAAGGCCATGTCTTTGATGACGAGAAGCCATGATCCTGTGGACTCACCAAATGGACTAATAAAAGAGAATAAACCATTTTATTCACCCAACATTTTTCAGCTGGCTCCACTTGGCTTTAGCAGCGACTCTTCTATAATCCTCCTGTCTCTAAAAGCGGGGACCACTGAGTCAGTGTGAAGTCCAAGAAAACTTGATGTGTAGCGACTACATCAGTCCACGTCATGCACCAAGACATCTGTTAATCCCATGCTCTACCCTTCCCTCAATCACAAACATGAGTCCGAGATACTAGAAGGTCTCCATTTCAGAGGACAAGGCACTGATTGTGATTTGGGCCTTTGAGCCTTTTGGACCAAGAGACCTTCTCCACCGACTCCCACTGATGTCGGCTGTGTCTTTGGGCAAAATGTGTATGGCACGTCTTTATTATTTTGAAGTTCATCGGGCAACTTCCGGTTTCTGTGATTAATTGATTCAATGTAAATACGTTTTTAGCTCTCACGGTGAAAGTGTGCGATAAAATGAAAACGGCAGATGGGCCCAAGCATCAGTACGAGCGTTCATTGATTCTGTCAAGTCCTTTAAAGTTTTCTTGTCTGAATGCAGGTTCGACTTGAAAAACCAATGAACACAAGGACGCAAGTTAAACTCAGCTTCAACTTTTTTCTTGTTATTAGTTGCAGTTGCAGCAGTAGTAGCAGCAGCAGCAGGTTGAAAACCTTTGGGAAAATTGTACATTTTTAATAAACCATTTTAATAATCATTTTAAGAATAATGACTGATTACTTTTATACTAAATTGTATTATTTGTACCATATTTCTAACTTACATTTTATTGTAATTTGAATCATAATTTTAATGTTTTATTGCAATCATTACAATCCAAATGTGTTTAGAATTTACCTGATATACTGATATACAGAACTAATGAATGTTATCATATTTTAAAATTTAGTATCTTATCATAACACTAACTTTTTAGAATCTAAAGTTTAGAGAACGATTGAAGATTACAAATAATTGTTTAAACAGTATTGGTAACTTAATTAGCCAAATCAATTAAACTGATTTGGATACATTAAAGTGAATTTCTTGTAAATATTCATACATGATTACATTGTAAACTGAAAGTTCAGACCCACTTGAATTAATGAACCAAAATAGACTGAGTCTGAGCCGCCTAGTCTGACCAAAAAGTTAAATAATATTAACCCTCACTTGGGTGACACAAATAGGTTAAATTAGCTAAAAAATGTTGCATTCTTGAAAGTTACTGAACTGAAACGGGACCTTTGTCTATTTTAAGCTTTTAAACAGAAAACTTCACTCACCAGTAGCATCTGTGTTCACCTTCATGCATTCAGTTTGTGTGTGTTGTTACCATAGACTGTAAAAATTAACAGACGTAGTCACGCCTATCTCAGCCGTTATAACTAATGGGCCAAAAATAGTGCTCTACTGGAGCTCTCCAAAATGGCCGCGAGTGGTCCCGCCCAAAATTGAATTGTGAAAAATCGCATCTGCGCATGCGTCAGCCGGCGCAAGCTCCATTCATTTGAACGAGAGACTTCAAAAATTCACAGCAAGTAAACAAAAAAATTATAATTCACCTCCCTCAGCATTGACACACATGTGGAACGGAGCTTTGGGCCAAGAGCCAGCTTTTGGACCATCCTGTAAAGACGTTTTCCAGAGGTCTGCCAATGCTATATGTTAGCATTGGCTAATTCTTATTCCGGGTCCACCCCCGGGGCCACTTTTGAGCCGGGACCTGCCCCCACTGGTGGTTACGCACCTGCACAAACTTGCCAAATTATTTGCCAGACTACTGGCCCAAACTAACTATGCCTCCATCTACAGGCCAAACTTAAAATAACAGAAGAGATAGGAAGATAGACAGAGCAGTAAGAGTAGATCAGAAAGATTTTATAGATTTAAGCCTAGATTGACACACATTTGGCCGAAGCTAATGCAGTGTGCATTTTGTGTGACATCACATGCATGCAACATTTTCTATCATCAAACCTGACATACCATGGCTTGCTTCATGACTGCTGTAGGAACATTCACGCAAGGATAAAGGTAGATTCCAGCCAGCACTGTCTCACAGCTCACCCCTGGGAGATTATTCAGGACTTCACAAGCTCTCCTGCAGTTTCTCCTCAGGGTCTGTGCAATATCCTTTTTCTCCTTCCATAGAAACATACGCCCATGATTACAAAGTGGAGTTTCATTTTGGCCTGAACTTCTTGGACAAACCTCTGTGTACGTGCAGTAGGATGGGTCCCCGGGTTTCAGAGGACGGACCATCAGACTGAGCACCAGCTGACCCATCACCGAGGTGCTGATGTCTGTGCAAAGCATGGTGTCCACAAAATGCTTCACCTCAGCATCGATATTAACCAGCTCCATGTACCCCGCCCGAAATCCACCCCTGCAACAACCCCACAAATACCCAGTGAAAAACAGGCATGAGTACATTCTGACTGTCTTTAAACAAGATTTTCCAATGAGACTAAACCATTTAGTCTTATTTCAAGAAGTGTTGCTTTATTTTCTAATTTCAAGCAATATATTTCTTCTATTTAAAAAAAAAAAACAAGATTAGTCTGCTTTGTTCCAGTCTGTGACGAAGCCTCCCAGCTTGAATTGTGAAAGTATTACACTACATTAGGGCTCAAGTCGGTGAGCGATACGCCTGCCATACTTGACAATTTCTAGCTTCCTCTAACAAACTAGCCATTGTAGGTGTTTTAGAAAATCAATAACAACTCACTCGCACACTGACGAAAAAGCAGTGCAAAAGTTTCCAAGTTGTATTGGCACTTTTGTAACCCACGGTTGAGAAACACCATGATATCAACACTATAACATCCTTGAACTACACTTAAACATATACTTACTCTCCAATACTGGAAATCGAATGAAAGTAGGCCATCTGAGTCGTATCAGAGTACGGGGGGCCCATTTCATACAACATTTTTTTGTAGGAAGTAAATTCAACCATGTCTTCAAAGATAAAGTCCTGGTAAATCTGAAAGAATGTGAATAAATGTAAAGAATGTACGCAATATGGAAAATTAAACTTGGAATATAAAATACATGAATCTACAATCTTAGTCTTAATCTAAAGTTGTGCATTATATTGCTACTGCATTATTTGTCACCTCAAAACTTAAGAGCATGAAGTAGATTATAGAGTAGATATATTATCACAGAGTGCATAACCATAAGTACATGTAGTAGATTTGATTATTGAAAGCCAGGTCCTGTCAGACCACTGTAGCCAGGTCCTGTCAGACCACTGTAGCTAGGCTAATTAAGGGCCTGGTTAGTACTGTGATGGGAGACCTCTGGGAACATCACTCTGGAACACAGTAGTGCAGCTGCAGCAGTAACATGCCAAACTACTGTTGTGTGTTCTTAGGCAAGACACTTCCCCCACATTGCCCAGTGTGTGTATGACATGTGAAGTGTGCTTGAATGTCCAGAAGGTGCTATATAAAACTGATGCATCATTATTATTTGGCTGCCACATTATTTGCTATTTTCTCTGTTAAATTCACCTCATCAACCAATAGTAGAAGACCTTCAGCGGCCGCAAACTTAATGACTTCCTTTATGGACTCCCTGCTTTGAACGTGTCCTGTGAAAAGACACTTTACTCACTGATGGGCACACCATAGACATTTAAGTGCTACATTATACTTGATCCAGAGATAGTTCCACCTGTAGGATTACTGGGATTACTTATGAAGATGGCTTTAGGTTTGCAGTGCACTCTTGCTGCTGATAATGATCTGTTGAGTTCGTCCACATGAACGGCCCAGCCCTGCTCTTTGTTTAACACATAGGGCTCCAGAGAGACCCCAGCCTCATCCAGCAGCATGGGCAGAGTGTGCGGGGAGGGCTCTGGGGTCAGAACTCCCATTGGGACGTCCCCCTCTGTGCCAGCAAGCAGTTTCACCATCACCTCAACACAGACAAAAACAAAACACACTCAATATTGGTCTTAAACTGGTTAAGAGATAGGAACTGGCTGATGGATCACCTGTAAACATTCAAAAATCGATACGGCCCATGTCTGCATGTTTAGATATTTTTAATGTTGAAAAATGGTCAGTGACATCTTTGACATGTTTTTGTCACAGAGTAATGTTTATAAAATACCCTTCTGATACCCTTCATTAGGCTAACCCTAATGAAGTTATGGGTCTGCCACTTGCAGTGCTTAAGGACTCCAAAATCACCTGGATTAGGTCTATAGTTAGCACTCTCACTTCTCAGCAAGAAGGTCTTGGGTTTTAATCCCAGTCAGATGGTTCGCATGTTCTCCCTGTGTCTGTGTAGGCTTCCAGACCACTAAAACATGAACAATAGGTAAAATCCCCAGCTCAGGTTGTCCTGACAAAGCTGACAATAGACATCTGGAGATTGTCCCCGACCACTGCTCCTGACGTGTTGCTCTGGTGGCTTTGCAGAATGCAGAGGACTATTTCCCTTGACGTGCCTTGAATTATAGATATAGTAGATATCAGTATTACCATCAAAGCTCGCTGGGAACCTCCGGCAATGAAAATGTTACTGGCTGAACACGGCACTCCATCTCGACTCGTGATAAAGTCTGCAACACTTTGACGGACATTGTCCAGACCTGAGGAGTCAGTGTAGGAACCTGAAGGCAAATATAACATTTAATGGTATAATCAATGATTGTAGCTTATATCATAACTAGTGTTCTATTTTATGTAGTAGATGTCCATTTAAAAAATACTGTCGTCAATATTCCTAATAGTAGTAGTGGCACATTGGCAAACACTGGGTTATAACTGGTGATCCATGTGCTTATTATTATAGTGTGGACTTGAGTCAGATACGAGTCATGAACTTGATGACTTTAGACTCGACTTGACAAAATATAAAAAGACTTGCAACTCGACTTGGACTTTTACATCAAGAACTCTGACTTTCACTTGGACTTGTGCCTATTGACTTGTAAAGACTTGCTACTTCCCAGAATAACTTGCTCTCTCTGTTAATGCGTGACAGAGAGACCGCATTCGGCACAACATCCACCAACTTCGACAGCGGCCAACCAAACGGAACAAGCTCTTAGTCCTTTCGACAAGACGCGAACCAAGTCAAACCATAAGACTTGACTTGACTTGAGGCTTGTTGGCCTTTGACTTGGGTCTTACCTCGGGACTTGATGGCAATGAGACCAACCTGTGACTTGCCAAACAATGTCTTTGTTCCACCCCTGGTCCTTACCAACACTGCGTTCTCCACAGGCATCAAGGAGAGTCTGAGCACGCTCACGGACGTCCACATTGAAGGTTTGATATTCCAACAAATGAGGGTAGACACAACAAGCCAATACCTACAGCAATATGAACGATTATCATAAAGGATTAAAACATGTGTGTAAAATAAAATAAAACATACACATATACTGGAGTTTGAACGTAGCTTAGCCTGTAGAAGATGACAGGAGGATTGATGAACGGCTAATTTTAGTTTAGTTTATTTATCTAAAATGACAGGGACAGTGTACGATAAACATTAACCTCAAAGGGATGCATTGTACCAGGTTATAACTGCAGAGCTCATTTCCACCTGTAGTCCCTGGGCAATGTTGACCACCAAAGTGTAATCTGTATGTGGCCAGTTGAGCTGTTTTGAAGGGTACATTTCTGCTAAAAGCTGGTAGGGATATACATAAAAATCCCTCTCCTTGCGGCTACAGGAGGGGAGTTCTACAGGGTATTAACTATTGGAGAGCTGAATACTTTTACGCCACTTTTTAAATAATTAAGGCTATCAAGGTGTTCTTTTGCTTTCATTCCACAATTGTCAGTCATTGTGTCTTGACATTTTCTCAAACACAAAACAAACAAGAGTAGTCGTCCTACCTGCCGAACGAATGAGAAAGGTTTCATTCCTGCTTTTTGAAAATCTCCAGAGATTAAGTCGATCATTTCATCCTGAAGAAAAGTTGAATAAATGTGTTTCACGGAATTCATTAAATCCATTGAAAAGCAGGAGTTACTGACCTGTGAGCTCGGAAAACATGTGGACGCCCGGATTCTTCTCACTCTGGGATTCACAAGTTCCAGAGAAGTCATTTTCAAACTGTTTCTCACTGTGACATGAGATTTGCTCTGAGAGGTCTGTTTGATGGAAAACACATGACACAAGACAGAGCTCACCTACACTCTAAAAACAGATCGGATTAACTGATCTTTTTTTTTTTTAAACAACCAAAATATTAATGGTAGTGCTTTCAAACATTGGTTTTTGTCATTTGATCAATCCAGTTGATAAATATGCAGTATGTCCAATCGATAGAAATGCATAGTACTTTTTTGATACTTGATGCCCAAAGATGCTTGACATTATGTCACTCATTTACACCATACACAGTTGTGGTAAATTACGGCTGTAGCCATATCTGCCGTGGGGCAAGACAGAAGCAGAGCAACTCATACTCTACAAAGTGGGTGAAGTGTCTTTCCTAAAGACACAGCAACAGTTTGGCCCTTTACAGCTGCAGCATCCTAATGAGGTCTCCCATCACAGTACTAACGAGGCCCTGCTCTGCTTAGCTAGTGAAGTTTGAAGGCTTTCCACAGGTGGTGCCACAATAGAACACTATAGTCACAGATGCAAGCTGTCGGGGTGAAGAGTCAGTACTATGGCTGTTTTTTCTACCAAATTATTTTGGTGAAGTTTAAACTGATGCAACTTGGTATTTCTGACAAATTATTCTGTAAAACAATTAACACTTAAGATTGGATTCAAGGAAAGTGTTTTAGAGTGTAAAGAATTCAAAAGCACAGTCTTAGACATACACATTAACCATGTTTAAACATTTGCCAGTGCAACGCCTGCTATTCATTTCAGATCGTGTGTTAAAGCTGAACTAACTGTATGAAGGTTTTTTTGTGTTTTTATTATCAACACTTTTTTTTGCTTTTGAATTCTATAAACTGTAACAAAAAAGTATTCAGTGTAAATAATGTTTTAAAATTCAGTGTCGAAAAAATTCGATGTTTTAAAATTCAGTGTCAAAATATTCAATGTTTTCAAATTCAGTGTCAAAATATTCAATGTTTTCAAATTCAGTGTCAAAATATTCAATGTTTTCAAATTCAGTGTCAAAAAATTCAATGTTGAAAAAAATTCAGTGTCCAAAAATGTGTAGCTTTTTTTTTGCTGCTTGAAATGTCATGCTTTATTTCCGGGTAAATCAAGAACAAAGCAATAGATCAGCCAATCCTCCATAGATGTAGCCAGGGCCAGAACATGACTGTCGTGTTCATCTGAACATGGCGTCCACAGCAAACCACTAAGTGTGTTTTCTCATCATTAGTTGGTATGTAACAAACCACTACTGTATGTACTTTCTGAACATGTTTTTACCTTAGCTTATCATTAGCTAGCCCCGCATAGGTGGCTTCTATGTTTTGGCGATTCCCCAAAGCTGAGCTTTGCTAATGCTAAGCTAAAATGAACCGCAGGGAAGCCAAGTACATGGGGGTTTGCGGTTCTTGTGTGACATATGTACTATGTTCCCAATTTCAATGTGTATATTTTTTCTAGCAGTGCAGCAAGGACAAAACCTGCTGTTTAGAGACAGAGCAGACAATAATTATTCTATCTTTACTCTTAAATTTTGACATCTTAGTGAAACCAAGACGGAATGAAGGATCGGTTCTTTAGGGAGAAAACAAACCCATGGATTCAATATTAAGATAGATATGGTTTTAATTGAGTATATTTGTAAATACCACTCTACCAGCCTCCTGTTAAAGACTGGCAATGTATTTACATTTACTGTTGATATGTTAAGTTCATGTGTGTGTTTGTAAAGGCATCGTACTTCTGCTCCTCCTCAGAGCGTCTGTTTCTACTCTACTACTGTGTATTTGTTTTAATTAATTTGACTGGGACAGTACATATATATGAACATATGTGTCGACATGTCTGATTGTAACAAAAGGCTCATTTTAATCCCAGAAGAACCGGGTCTGTTTAATTGAATGATTTTTTTGTGTGAATTTCTTTTCCAGAGGCAGCTGTCTTCCAGAGGCATCATTTCTTCATCCATTTCCATCACCTCCAGCTTCTGTGGATTACGATATAAACTACAACAACCAATATTTTCATTTGTTTTATTAATTACAAGTCATGGATAGTTAGAACACATCTCTCATTTTCTGGAGACATATGCAGCAGCAACAGTAGGGTGGCACGGTGGCTGAGTGGATAGCACTCTCGCCTCTCAGCAAGAAGGTCCTGGGTTCGAATCCCGGTCGGACCAGGGCCTTTCTGAGTGGAGTTTGCATGTTCTCCCCGTGTCTGCGTAGGTTTCCTCCGGGTACTCCGGTTTCCCCTACCACTAAAAATATGTCCAATAGTTCTGGCATGCGCCTCCTGTACTGGCGTCCCCGCTCCCATCTCTGTGTGGAGTGAGAGACAAATGCCCAAAAAAATAAATACAAATGAACAACTGTAAACCGCTTTGAGACTCAGATCTGCAGTGAAAAGGCGGTATATAAATAAAGATTACTTACAACAGTAATAACAGCAGGTGCCTGGACGTCTGCCTCTGACACAGCTGTCTTTTCTATGGTGGACTCATCACAACCTGGAATAAAATAAAATAATTATGATTTAGTTCTTTGTGTGCAATGAAAAGTGTTGTATGCGTTTTTCCAACCACACAATCCGTGAGAAACATGTTTCATAGCTTGTATTTAAGTACTACTTCTAATCTTAAATACATTTAAGCCATTAACTCTGACATTATCAGGTCTGTTGGATTTCAAGAGGCAAGGAGCTTGTGCTCAAAAAGTAAGTACTCATGACATTAAATCTGGTCTGTAAGTTCAAGTCCACGCGTCTTCTGTGTCCAGCTTCATGTTCACAGATGTCCCCCTGTCATCAGTAAATGCACATTATCACATTTTTACTTAATACAAATTACTTTACAACTAAGTGATGCACAAACGAGGGCCATAACAAATCCATCAATCCCACTAAACACATGCATTATTTACATGAAATATCACATTTTTAAGACTAATGATTACTCTTTAAACAATTGTTATAACAGAGAAAGTATGATACAAAAGCCGCCATTTTGGGTTTTCATAATTACTTCCACAATGAAGACTGTTAGCATAAGGGAGCTCTCAAAATGACTCCCAGCCAGTGTGGGCGGGTTTCGGCTCAAAAGTGGCCAAAATGACGTGCGCTGACATGCTTGCAATACCACCCCGGGCCGATGGGGGTGGACCCAGAAGAAGAATTAGCCAATGCTAACATATAGCGTTGGCAGACCTCTCAAAAACGTCTTTACAGGATGGACCAAAAGTTGGCTCTTGGCCCAAAGCTCCGTTCCACATGTGTGTCAATGCTGAGGGGGGTGGATTTTTTTGGTCCACTCTAGTTTACTTGCTGTGAATTTTTGAAGTCTCTCGTTCAAATGAATGGAGCTGCACCAGCTGACGCATGCACAGATGCGTTTTTTCACAATTTTCTTGTGGGCGGGACCACTCGCGGCCATTTTGGATTGCTCCAGTAGAGCACATTTTTTGGCCCATTAGTTAGAACGGCGGAGATAGGCGTGACTCTGTCCGTTAATATATACAGTCTATGCTCCCAGCGCATGACGCTCCATTCTGGGCATCAGCGCAGCTCTACACCCGTGGTTAGCGTGTTAGCACTGGAGTTTAAGGCTGGAGAAAAAGAAAATCTGTTTAATCACCTAACAGACCTCTGATATAACAATAGAAGGGGCTATTTCCCACCTCCAATGTTAATACAATTAAATGTTATGTCCCAATTAAAACGTAAATTCAACTTTTACCTTTACCTCATCATGGCCGCTCCTCTCTCCGCTCCGTGATCCATGCTACAGCGGGACGCTCACGTACAACAGCACGGCCTGATAATAGTGTGCAGCGTCCGAAACACCATCAGAATGAGTCCACTCACTCAGTCTCTCACTCACAATAGTCCCGCATGGTATAGTGTGGACATTCGGATAAAGCCAAAGTCGTGTTCTGGCCCTGGCTACGTCTATGGAGGATTGGCTGATCGATTGCTTTGTTCTTGATTTACCCGGAAATAAAGCATGACATTTCAAGCAGCGAACAAAAATGCTACAAATTTTTGGACACTGAATTTTTTTCAACATTGAATTTTTTGACACTGAATTTGAAAACATTGAATATTTTGACACTGAATTTTAAAACTTCGAATTTTTCAACATTGAATTTATTTACACTGAATACTTTTTTGTTACAGTTTATAGAATTCAAAAGCAAAAAAAAGTGTTGATAATAAAAACACAAAATAACCTTCATATAACTGACTTTGGGATTTTGAAGCCGCAGACTCGCTGGCCTCGCTCTTTCTGCTCCCCTCCCCGCACCCACGAAGCTATCGCCCCCCACACACACCCACTGTTGTTGACGGAGCTAGCGTCTCCCAATATGGATAATACATGGACATGAATTTGCACGTGGATGGTGTGACCATAGAACGATAGAACCGGGAAGCGCGGAGGAACAAGACTTTCTTTTGGATGGCTGTCTCGCCGTGTAAGCAGTACCCGGTGACAAAGACAAAGTTTCAGGTTAGCTCCGCCGCTTGTTGTGCTAACTCAGCTGTCTATGCTAACGGACCTGTAGATTTCTCACAAAAAGTGGGGGCCAGTGGTCCGCTGTGATTGGTCACAATCTGCGACCCGAAACACATTCTCTTCCTTGTTTCATTAAAACTCGATCTAAAATATAATTTCACGCCAGCACAAATCTGCGCTACTTTTTCTTCAAAAGGACGTATATCCCAATGCACTACATGGATATGGATAGCATTTAACTAATGAATACAAAAATAAAGTCCGTTAGTGCAGCTTAAAGTGTGTGTGAAGGTAATAATGACTCTAATAATCCTAAAGAAGTAAAAAATGAAAGTGAATATATTTAATGACTGGTTCAGAAAAATAAAGGCGAGAAGAATAGAATATCAAGACTTAATATGCAATGAAGTTTGGACGTTGTTCTTAAAAATAAGAAGGATTTGCAAATCATTTTACCACCGCGTTACTTACTAT